AACGGAGCAACGATTTAAGAAGCAAACTAGGATTCAATCCCGAAGCGGGCCACCTGGTGATTTGGAGAAGCTGCCAACGTCCAGGGTTAGCACCTTGAATTACCTAGGGGTCGGGTAGCGGTACCCCATAGGTTCCGCCTCATCCCCTCTCTTGCTTTCCCATTGGCCCTTATTCCTGTCTCCTGATTGGTCCTTATTAGAGCATAACGGTTGGTCTCCTTATCCAAGGTTTGTGTACCTCATTAGCATATGAGGTAGTCAACAGGGTGGGGCGAGTCCATCAGTTATCTGGACAAGGTTTCTGGAATGGATAACAGCAGGCAATTTGGGATAGGTCATCCAAATCTCTGATGCCATTGGTATGATCCATGGAGTGGATCAGCTGAGGTGATTCAGGTTCATTCAGTCCTGAGGGGTCATCCAGGCCTCTACCTGACCCTGAGAGGCACCATCCTAGAGTTTGGTGCAGTGGGTTTTGGGTTAAAATCAGTTGCTGCTAAATGAATTTGTTAGGTAGGACAGGGGACTGTTCCGCTCCGTGCCTAAAGGCCCCCTACAGGAGGTCAGAAGCCAATGAAGGCTACGGGGTATGTGCCAATTCAAGCCCAAACCTGGGTTGTACCACCCACCTGGGTTGGCCTAACCTAGGCCAGCTGAGCTTAATTCAGCCAATGGGGTCAGCCTGTACCTTTGACCAGGCCTCCCAGCCAAAGGCCCTAAAGGCCAGAACCTGGAGACCATTTAAAGCCCTTTTCCCTTCGGCTGCTCCAGCCGTCTGCTGGGCCGTGGCTCGGTCTCTCTGGCCTCAGGCTGCCGCGTGTGGGTGTGCAGTCCCATGAGGGTGTCTGTGTTCCGTGACTGAAGCCTGAAACGTTTTCTGTCCTTTTTTAAAACCCACTTGGATCACAAACCGGGCTGCGGTGTGAATTCTTTCTCCTGCAAAGCCAAGAAACAGTCTTTTCTTCCGAGGTACCTCTGAGTGGACCGCGGGCATTTTGGTTAGCAGTCCGTAGTAACCCAACTTAGCTTGAAGAACACCATTTTGTTAAAATTGCTATCTCGTGTGACCTCAACCTTGCTGTCCCTAGGCCCACCCTATTTCCTGTTGGACTGACTCATCCACAGACTGCTGCCAGATAAGCCCCTCCCACCTCCGGACAGACCTGGCCCCACCCTGCGGATGTGCCCCTAACCCCTCCAGATAGCCTGTCTGCCAGATAAGCAAGGAATGTAGTAAGTCTTGACAGACCCTGACCCCTTGCAGGTGTCCCCTCCCGACCCCCTCCCCATGTCCTGCCTGCCCAATCAACAAAGGATGTAACTACAGAGTGTACCCTCCCAATCTAGCCCCCTGGCTTACCTGGCATGAAGGCTGTCTGCCACCCTAGGGGAGGGTGGAGAGGCCTTTTCCAGGCACTAGCCTCCTCTCCCTGCCCAGCTAGCTGTAGTAAAAGATAGTAATTTTCATAAAGTGGTGTGGTTTGAGCTCGTTCATGTATTACAGTTAAGCACATGAACTGTTTGCAGTGCCCAAGGACTCCAGGCGTTGGGTGGTGATGTTGACACTGTGTGTCAGGGTCCTGACCGGCAATCCCAACCGAAGCACATCACGGGCCCTTTCCCATGCAGGGCTACTGTTGTTAGTGGGTGGGTTCAAAGCCAGCCATCAGTCAGCTACTGAACCACAAGGTCCCTGATGGTCCAGAGTAGAATGCACAAGTATTCTAACCAGCGCCCTGGTGAGGCTGAAGCTGCAGGTGGGAAGGCCAGGCTTTGAGAATCACTGCTCCAAATAGTCCTTAGGTGCAAGCACTCCCTCTTACAAACCGGTGACATTGGCTGGTTCAATTTCAGGGCTGTCAGGACACTCTGATCCCAAACTGTTCTCTTAAGGAACTCCTCTTTGACACCCTAACTCTCCACCCAAGTCAGGGGGGAGGGCGGGGGAGGTTCGCAAGGAAAGCACTTACTGGGAGGGCTGTGGCAGTTATATAACGTCAACTTGAGCAAAGGGGTGGGAGTCAAGCTTGTCAATCAGGTCATAGTCAGTGAGGCCTGTGTGTGGATATGGCCTTCTCCTGAGGATTCTGGGAACTCCTGTCTTCCTCCCTGGACGTCGGACACACTCTCTCTGCTTCACATTCTGTTGACAAACCACATGGAGCTATGCTGATTGAGTCAGAGCCCTGGGACTGGAGGAGCCACATGAAGAACTATGCCAGTGCTGAGATGCTTCCACAAGACTTTTCACCCACTGGCCTGTGATCTTCCTGCTTTCAGCATCATTGCATGTGCTGCATGAGTTTGTAGGAGAATTTATGAACTAGTATCAGACATACGGGCTAGTATCAGATTTACAGACTGGATCTGGACTGGGCCAGGATGTTTTAATATACAATGGCTCTTTTATAAAGCTCTTTCTTATACACATATGAACATTAATGAGTGTGTCTAGTAAACTCCACTGGGTGGAACTTTTGTGGTATGCATTTTTCCTGTTAGGCAAGTATCCAGCAACTCACTCTGAGTTAGTGTACCCAGTGGCATCTCCTGGGAAGGTTCTCTCTGGTCACATTGAATTTTTTCATTAAAGCAGTTTCACTCGAACCTTGTTTTTTGTGATGGCAGATTTAAGAGAACATCGTGAGACTATGAAATGTTGTTTCCTGCTCAGGAAAAATGCCACAGAAACTGTTGTGATGTTGGACACAGCTTACAAGGACAGCGCTATGGGGAAACAAGTGTACAAGTGGTGTTCTCATTTCAAAAAAGGTGAAATATTGACAACAAACCTCATTCTGGACGTCTGTCAACTTCCTGAAAGGACGAAACTGTCAACTAGTACTGCATTTGGAGTTCGTTCCACCAGGTCAAACTGAAGCAAGTTTTCTATTTAGAAGTTTGGAAAAGATTGCCTAACAGTATGGGACAAAAAAGGCCTGATTTGTGGCAGACGAGGGACTGGTGTTGCAAAGCACCTGCTCACACAGCTATGTGCCAGCTTTTGGCAAAAAACAGCATGCCTCTCTTGCCCCATGTACCTTACTCACCTGAGTTTGCTACATGCAACTTCTTTTTGTTTCCAAGAATGAAGTGGGACATGAAAGGACAGTGATTTGATGACAACATAGAAGAGGTGGAGGGAAAAAACGAGGGAGGTGCTGTCAGCCATCAGATGAGTTTGAAAAATCTTTCCAAGAATGGAATTGCAGATTTGACAAATGTGTTAAGTGTGATGGAGAGTACTTTGAAGGTGATAAGGTTGATTTGTAAAAAAAAAAAATTAAATACATGGCTGTGGGGTGTTTTTTTGGGGGGTGGGTACCCCCTCACTATTGGCAGCACATTTAAATACCGATGTAGAAATATACTCTGACACACACACACCCTTTGGGTGGGTCATGGGAGTCGTCTTGGTTGCCTTAATTCTAGTGCCCCTGCCAGTCTCTTCCCTGGCCTTGGTTATACTAACAACTGTGCTGCTAAACACTCACCAACTTCCAGGGTCAGCTTCACGTTCTGATTTCCTCAGGTACCCAGGCCTCACACCAGCAGCGGAGGGCACGCAGGAACAAGGGAACCCAAGAGGCATTTAGAGCAGCTTCTCATAGTCTAAGCCGGGGGCAGGCTGCTCTCCGAGCCACCACACCCCCGGGCAGCGAGGTGGACGAGTAAGACATGAATGGAGCAGGTGGTTCGGAGATTCCTCAGGCTAGAATGAGGACTGGTTTAACATGTTCAATGGGACCCTGTCAACTCCCCTCCATAACCAATCTATCGTGCCAGGTGGTTACCAGGGCAGCATTTGCCATCTTTGATAGGGAAGGGCGCGCTGAGCTCTGAAGCTGATGTTGAGTGGTTCCATCCTCGGTGCTGCTTGGCCTTTGCACCATAAGCCTACCCTGTCGGTTCCCCCAGCTGCCTGCAGAGCTACCTGGAGAAGGCAGCCTGGGGCACAGCTTCGGGAGGGGCCAGCATGCGGTGAGCAAACAGGTACTTGTATTCATTTTTATCATACAACAAGGCCAAAAACGGACAGAGTTGGAATCCATCTGTGACTCTTGTCTTGAAGATATCAAATCACACCAAACTCACTGCCACCGAGTCAATGCCAACCCTCGGCCACCCTGAACTGTCCCTGTGGGTTTCCCAAGGCTTAATTCTTTCTGGGAGTAGAAAGCCTCTTCTTTCTCCTGTGAAGCGGCTGGTGGTTTCAAACTGCTGGCCGTGCAGGGAGCAGCCCGACATGTCGCCACTCCACCACTAAGGCTCCTTGTTTTTGAAACATGCGAGCATTAAATTGTCTGCCTGTGCAGAGATGGGCGGGCTGCAGTGTCCCAAGGTTCAGGTTTCCTGGGGGACTAGCCTGGTGACGTATGCAGCTACGTTTCAAGCATCGAAGGACCCGGAACCCTCCGTGCCAAAAGCACTTAGGGCTGGCGTGAGCAAATCAATAGCGAATCTCTGGCCATGTGGACAATGTGCAAAATCGATAGGAATCATGACAGTTTTTGGTGTGTAAGAGTCAACTAGTCAAAGATGTCACGTCGTTCATTCAGAATGAAAAACTAACCCGGGGCACATACAGCTGAGAAGTCAAGAGCCCGCACACTGAGGGCAGTAGAGGGGAGGCTACAAGAAGACCCCTTCAACTCCAAGCAAGGGCCCGGCCAGAGAGCCAAAGGAAGCACAACCATGAACCGCAGGCGGGCACTCCAATCACCCCGTTAGGCAGTGAAAGCCCAACGTCCATGCTCCTCCTTCCTCTCCCACCTCTCTTCCCTCATCCCTCCATGGCACCGTGAGATTGCACCACCGTCAATCTACAAGAACGAGGAAAGGCTGGCCCTTTTATTCCCCCGTACTGAACAGTTCCATTCCCTCAAGTCTTTCTCAAAGTAGAGAATAAAAATGGTATGATTGATAAGACACACTAGAGAGCCAGCAGCTTAATAGCTTAAGGAGAACGACTAAAAAATCCACACACCTGATGCTCAGAGTTCTTTCATCCATCTCATTTATTATGGGATTCGTAACTCCTGCAATCCATCCAGCACAATCAAGTATCACATCGCCGCACCCGCATATACAGGTACAGAACACGTGTGGCAAGTACATATATTTAAAGCAGCGACCCCAACCTAAGATTGGCAGGGGAAGTCCCTTGGAAGGTGGGCTCACTGCCTCCAGTGTCCCAGGTGTGGTACCCCCTGTGCTTCATCTCATATGATAGCATCTGATGGCTTGTCACTACAGAGTGACTCTTCCACAGGGCAGCTTTTGACGTGTGGTCCAAATACAGCACTCTAGCGCTGAACCACGGGGTGCAGTGGGTAATCAGCCCGTACAAGCACTCAACACACACGTGGCTGTGGCCTGCATCTGGGTCTCAGGTCAGAAGCTTCGAGGTGGGGCGATAATTAATGCTACAGCCCCTCCCCAGGTCCACAGAAATCTGACAGGCTTGCTAGAAGGCATGCTGCTGCCCAGGGTAGGGGGTGGGTTTTCGAGGACACCCAAAGGAGGAGGTCCAAGGTACATGCTCCCAAAACTCTGCTCTGCTCTGAGTGTGGGCGGCGGTGTTTGTCCTGGTGAAGGGCAAACTGGAAGAGGGCCCCTCCCCCTAGGCTCTGGGCCAGAGCTCCTCCCGGGGACCAGGGGGAAAGTGGGTGAACCGTTGTACACCCATGAGCTGGCCCTTTGGTCACCAGGGTTGGGATTAGCTCAGCGGAGCCCACTGACAGAGGGCTTCATGGCGCCGCTCAAAGTGGCTAGTGAAAGAGCAGAGCTATTGGCCAAATACTTTAATGCCCCCAGAGGGGTTCTCATTTGCACGTTTGTGTTTTTATGCATACCGGGGGACCCCCACCTGCACACAGGGATGCCTGTCCTTCTCTGGATGTCCACAAGGGGGACAAGGGCCCAGGAGTGAAGGAAGCCCTCACAGTTCACAGAGACTGCCCGCCCCACCCTCCCCAGGAAGGCAGGCCTAGTAGAGAGGTTTTCTTTCACAGAAAGAGTAAAATGTCATCAGACTGTTCAGCTTTGTTCCTCCTGGGACGCTAACGATGCTACTTAAACACAAAAACATTTCAATCACTGGGGTAAAGCACTCCTAAAAAAAAAAAATACTACCCAAGTCAAAAAATACAGCAAAATCTTTGACCCAAATAACTTTTCACTTTTCAAACTGCTCTCTCCGGAAGCCAATTGAATAAACAATTTAAAAAAGCACTCCAAGTGATCGCCCATCCATTTGCATTTAACCCTAAAGAGTGGGTGAGGGAGTGGAGGGGGAGCTGAGAGAGAAAAGAAATAATACAGTTTTACTCTAAAATCCCAGAAGAGTGGTGGTCAGTCTTATGAGACAGGGAGAAAAAGGCCTTTGGATCGTCAGACACATTTTGGTTTTTGGCTTATTAGTGGAATCCCTTCTGGCTAAATTGCTCTTAACCACCACCCAATCCGATCAAGTAATAAATGGTGCCCATAAGGAATATAAGCTTCCTGAAACTATGGTCTTCAAACCAACTGGTTGTTTTTGAGAGCACCCAGGCCACATCACCACCAGCACCACCATCAGTTGGCATAAGCTCTGCTCAAACCCGCATGTTCGGCATGCCCCTTTGCTGGGGCACTGAACTGTGAAAGCCACGGCCGTAATGACACTGGCTGTGATCTGAAGTTAAGGCATGGCACAGTGACAGAGAGCTATAGATGAATGCACATTCGCGAACAAGTGCCGGCCACAGACGCATGAAGGCATCAATGTCCCAACCTTTAGCTGCAAGAAGGCAGAATGCGGGGGGCGCAGAGACATGCCGATCACTTGGGGTATGCTTGAATGTATCGCTTGAAAACTAGGCCCATAGAGGCAAATACTGCAAGGCAACACTCCCCAGGACCAAGCTGGGAACCAGCGGAACCTGGACACTTCCCAAAGGCCTCAGCGAAGATCCCTGGGCCCCTGCAGTCCTCCCGGCCCTGTGCATGGTGGGGGCACAAGCACTGCTGAGCAGCACACAGGTCCCCTGCGTCCCTCACTCTTTAACAAATGGGGTGCGATTCTGGCTTTCCCCAGGTGACAGGGCACCCTCCAACCCAGTTCTCCGGGCCCACATCACCGGGAAGCACTGGAGACCCGCCTATCACACAGCCTTGGCGAGGGAGGGGGGCATGCCCTCCGTAAGGGATTGACTGCACTTGGGTCTCCGAGTCTGGCCCGAGGCTCACAAAGCCTTATCCTTTAATGTGCAACGCCCAGTCGTCCCTACTGCTGGCGAGAGAGAGGCTGCTGGGCCGTGTTCTAGGCGGAGGCTGAATGAACGTCCTGGTTTTCGAACGGTGGCAGCGGCTCCCTCCAGAAGGTGAAGTTGCTGAACGTGTCGGAGCAGGGGAAGTCTGAGGAGTGACTTCTTTTCAGCAAAGGGAACACGTGGTCGACCACCTCACAGAGTCGCACGTACCTGCAGGGGAAAGGGACGGAGTGACCACCAGCGACGGGCCACGGCAGGTGCAGGGCTCAGCGCATAGCCGAGGGGCCAGCTTGGGCCCCACTGGGAACAATGCCCTACTACGCTCACAGGCAATTAGGGGCCCCATCCGTGGTCTGAAGGGACTTGGGTGGAGAAATGCTTCTTGGAAAGGGGGTGTGGGACGGACACTTGGCTGTGCTGCCAGGGGAGGGGAGGAGCACAGAGCAGCAACTGGGTGTGTGTGTGTGGGTGGGTGGGGGGTGTTAGAAATCAGCAGGACAAGGAAGAGGCAGGTGCAGTGTCGCCAAGAAAAGATCCGAGGTAAAGGCGTCTTTGGACCATCAAATGCGGTTGGCTGACGGCACCAAGAGAAAACTTGGGCCCTGGAGTGGAGGAGACAGGGCTTGGTCTTCAGAGCTGCCCTTGACCAGCTGAGCAACCTTGGGAAAGGACCTCTTCCTGAAAAGGGAAAGAGGCAGAATGGCAGCCCTGCCAGACAGAGCTGACTCTGGGAGCCAGGGCCCGCCCATGCTGGGCACTCAGTAGGCTTACTCGGCGATGCATTCCTAGCATGTCGTAAGGGGGCATAAAGCTAACCGCAAGGTCAGCGGATCGAAACTGCCAGCCGCTCTATGGAAGAAAGGTGAGGCTTTCTACTGCCGTAGGGAGTTTCCAGCCTCAGGAACCCACAGGGCAGTTCTCCCCGTCCCACAGGCTCTCTGAGTCGGCATCTACTCGTAGGGAGGAGTTGTGCGTTTGTTTGTCTTTAGGGAAAGAAAGCCCTGGAGGGGCTCAAGGTCCAAAGACATAGTTGTGTGACTTCTGACCAGAGCCTTGCCCTCCCTGGGCCCCAGGGGCTTCATCCTTCCCACACGGAGGGTGGGATTAGCCGTGATTCTCAGAGAACAGTCCCTCCTGTTCCCCATGTATCTTAAGGGGCGCCAGTTGTTCTGGCTTGAATTACGAGAAGTGCAGTGGCCGCACGGGGCGTGCCTCCCAGCAGGGATGCTGACACCCTCAGCCACTCCCTGACACCCGGGGACCCCCCCTCAGCTGGGGCCCATTTCCTAAGAACCTGAACGGAGCCTTTGAAAGCCAAGCTCCAGCAATTCGCATGTTCTCAGGCATAAAACAATATCACTCAAGGGTGACGTGTGTACTTAATAAAGGACCTCCAAAGGACTTATGAGAAATCTTGTGTTCGCACAACTTGGGGAAAATCTGTCTTAATGAGCAAGCATTTTCTCCTTTGTCCGTATTAAAGCAAACACAATTTTTTTTTAACAAAAGCTCTTTGGCTTTAAGGCGTCTGCTGGGCATGGTGGCTGTGGGAGCAGGGCCCAGAGCATCCAAGACCCAGAGTGACCCTCACATCCAGCTCCGTCCACGTGCCTCCTTCGGGCCCAGCCTTTGTCAGAACACACAGGGCTCACACGCCGACTCACACATGCAGAAAAACCACCATCACCACAACATAACAAAGCAGCAAACTCTTCCATCCTGCATGGATCCCATTTACCTAAAGGCATGCCAGGCTCGGAGGAGCAGACATCTCCTCGGCTCGGCACCATGTTCGAGGCATAGAGAGAATGTGTCTCCCAGAGGGAGGAGAGACACTCTCATGGGGGCGAGCACACGCCCCGGTCTGTGCAGCAGATTTAAGCTTTTCTTTGGCAATCAGCTCAACGGTCTCCTCTAGGTGACCCAGCACGCACCTCCGTGCCAGCATGTCAGCAAATGGAATACCTGCCCGCACAGGCCTTCGAGGCAAAGCTGGGATCCTAGAAGCCCCATTCTCATGCCCCTCAAGCCAGGCTGCTACTTGGCTGCCAGCTCGGCCGACTCCCCTGCCATTCTCGTGTGGACCTTCCACCGAAACCTCCTGGCTCTGTTCCACACGGAGGGCACGGAATGCTGACATCGCTGGGGCAGCCATTCTTGACAAAGGAGAGGGAAGAACTTAAGGAGACAGGACTAAGCTAAGAAACAATCGAGGCTGTGCTGTTGTTCTTAGGGTAAGAAGGAAGTCTGGCAGGGGCTGACCTGGTGAGGGGCGGCAGAGGGTCGTGGCTCCCTCTCCCTCCTCTCCTCCCTGAAAGGGGACAACTGATGGGGAGTTAGGCTCCAGCCGCTTCCGAGATCATCTCGAAAGGGAGAGGTGGCTCTGCAGGAGTCCACATTCCCACTGGCAGAAGGAGAGCGCGAATTCCCGTCTAACGCTGCCATAGGGCGCCTGGGATCACTCCACACACTCTTATCCAGGTCTGCGCAGACCAGGCAACGGAGGCCCTGCCTCTGAAGACAGACCAGGTGGGAGGGCACTTGCTGGCCTGGCCTGACATCCCCCAGCAGGCAAAGCGCCCCAAAGGCTGGCTCCCAGGGGAGGAAATGTTCTCCCTTCTAAGATGCAGGGGCCGTAAGCGGCGCACTTCCTGGAGGCCCAGGTGACTCCACAGCCCCACAGAATGCCTCATTAAAAACCGTGATCCAAGTTAGCCGGCGGACTCAGGGAAACTGGGTTTTGACCAAAATATATGTAAGCGGAATTCTTGTAACAACACACAACAGTGTTTCTGGCCAGAACATTATTACAGGCCAGGATGTGAAGGCATGAACAGCTCTGGTCTTTAGATACATAGCTGCATGTGACAATTCAATGCGGTTGAACTTCTAATTCTCATGCTGGGTTCCCAGAATTAACTGGGTAAATCCGAACCACGGGTTTGCAAAAGCCACTCAATCCCCTGCACTAGCAGACACTAGCCACTGCGGGAACTTTAGACCCAGGGGGGCAACGGATTAGATTGCTTTTTTCTTTCCAGAGGTGAATTTGAATGGTTCAAAGATTAAGTCTGAGGAAAGTGACAAGAAGTCACAAGCCCTTCTTTTTCCCAAAGAGGAAGAGAGCGGAAAGCACAGGCGATGAGGAACAGAAACGGCCTCGAGGGAAGGGCGCAGGGCCAGTGCAGTGGCCCCCACAGAGCACCCCCGGGAGTTGTCCCCGCGACTCACGAGGAGATGTTGGTCTTCGCGTGTTCCTGCACCAGCTCTCCTTTGGGATTGACGGTGAAGATTCTATTCAGAGACACTCCGACTTGCTTGTAGGAGTAGACATCCTGTATTGGGCAGAGGCCATGGAACATGTACTTTAAAACCATGGGGGCAAACATGCAGCATGCCCGACCTCCTGGAATGTTATAAGATGTTCACTAGCCAAGCTGTGCTGTCAAGAAATACCCTTTGACGTGAGGCTATGAAACCCACCCTCCCCACACACCCCCACCTTCCAACCTTGGGCCTCAGTCCTCCCATCTGTCCCCGAACTGAGGTGCAGCGGGCACAGTCTACCACGTGCCCTGTACGTCTGGCAGCCCCTAACGTTCATCTCCTTAGCCACTGCCTTGTGTCACAATTTTGAAGGTACCAGAGTTTTCTTACTGGACTGCTGGTGCCCAGCTCAACTCCAGGTCAGTAAGTGAAGACATGAACAGGCTTTCTAGAAAGCTGAGCCGGCCCGTGGATGGCACACCACACCACTTGAACCAACAGGCTCTTATACTGAAAGGCGGAATTCACCACCCTGCTTAGGGTTGGTTTGGGGGTCTCCCGTATGAGGGAACGGGTCTAATCCTCTATTCTGTATTCCTATTTCGCTGGCTTACTTAGCAAGCAGGCAGCCATGTGACCCAAAAGGCACACAGATGTGCCCGCCTTTGCCCTTTAAACGGAGCAGCTAGGTGAGACTGGGAGGAATGGGGAGTTTCTAGCCCACATCACCTGTTTCAAACCGTGCCAACCTTTAAAGAAAACGGGAGTTCGGGAGATCATTTAAGTGTTAAACAGCTATTCAGCAAGCCATTTCTTGCAGGATGTGGGCTGGGAATCGGGCTTTGTAATAGCGCTTTAGAGATCGCTCCCAAGCCAGGGCTTTCAGCCGCCGCCGTCAGGAAAGGCAGTCATTTTGAGAGTGCTAGAGGCCCCGTCGAACACTTACAGCGGGTCGGTTGCCAAAGGCAGCGTAGAAGGGCTCCACATTTGGGAAGAACAGGTTTCTGATGTCGGTCAGACACTGGACTTTAAACTTCTCCGGCTTCTTTTCGATCACCTCTCTGTTCAAACGAATACGGCATCAGAAGGATACGTTTCCTCCATTGGCAAGCACGCTTTTTAACTTTCAAGAGTTACCACCTGTATTAGTCTGGGTACTTTAGAGAAACAAATCCACAGCAACTCATGTATAAGAGACTTTTATGTAAAGAAAGTGTGCATCACGAAAACATCCCAACCCAATGCTGCCCAAGCCCACAAGTCCAACATTAGCCCATTAACCCAACACCAGTCCACAAAGTCCTCCACCTCACAAAACAGAGGCAATGATGCCGACTGCAGGAGGAAAGCTGAGTCAGTGAATGAACTAGCATCTCAGCACTAGCAGGGGTCTCCACACGGCTGCTCCAGCACCCAGGGCTGCATCGGGACAGGTCCATGTAGCTTCTCCTTGGGGATGTCTTGTAGGAAGTCAATCTTGCAAGCTGAAGCAGGGAACTGCTAAGGCAGCTGCACCCTGGTGCGACCATCACAAAACAAGAGACCCGAGAACTAGAAAGGCGAAGCTCACCCCCCCATTTATCCCTCCGCCTTTCAATTAGCCCCACATGTGATTATCCGCCAGGTTGGCACAATTAACTAACTCACCACCTTCCCAAATACTTTCGTGACTTCAAACTGTAAACATGCCTGAAGTCGGCTGGCTGCCCCCCAAGTCAATCAAACTCACTGCCATCGAGTCGATGCCGACTGAGAGTGACCCCGTGGGTTTCTGAAACTGCGACTGTTGACTGCGGTAGAAAGCCTATCTTTCTTCCAAGGACCCACTGGGGGTTTCGAACGGCAGACCGTGCAGAATGCAGCCCAATGTGTGGCCACTACACGACCAGGGCTTCTATCACAGTGACCCTATGTCCTCATGGACAAAAGCACCTGACAGATACTGAGTCAGGACTTTAAAATCACCCTCCCTCTTCCAAAAAACTAACAAACCAAACCACTACCCCCAACCCCTTGGAGAACGGATTGCAGCCCGAGCAACAACTGCAGAGCACCGAGGAGGGAGAGGGATGTTCTTCCATGTACTTTGAGTTGCCGTGACCTCAGTGATGAGAGAAAACCCCAGGAAGAAACGTGTGGACCACGGTGGGGCCAGTCTCACTCTCAAATGCTAGTGCAAACCCCTAGCTGATGCCTGTGGCGGGACCTCAAACATTTCCTAGAAAATGTCTTTTAGTTCCATTTCCCCGCAAACAATTAAGCCCCTTCTCAGACGGCAAACTGACCCCAGCCGTGGCCACCCTGTCCACTCGGGCTTGTGCTGCGTCGGGGGTGTCCGCGGCTTGTTTGAACAAGGCAGACCACCAGCCTTTCTTCTGAGACTTCTCTGGGTGAGCCCTCACCTTCCCCCGCTCAGGAGCCACCAAGTGTCGACCCGTTTGTGCGCCCACCTCCACCCCCTTGAGGAATAAACACTGGGGTCGCTACAGGAATGCCAGGGTGATGTTAACATCTGAAAGTCTCGCGATGCCGGACAAAAGTACAACCATCTCAATCGATTCAGAAAGACTTACAGGCGTGCCCCGAGGAATCCTGCTCTTCCTTGGACTGCAGTCAGCAAATAACACCATTTTTATAAACGGGGGTTGTGGTGATTGTGCCCGGAACATGTGTGTCGTGGGGGAGGAGGGTTGGTGGCAATGGTGCCCAGAGTTAGTATATTGGCACCACTGGCCCAGCAACGGGTGCCCGTTGGGGATCATTCTCACAGCATTTCAAACTTTCCACAATGCACCCTTCACCAACTACCGTGTGGCCTCCACTAACTCTGCACACTCAGGGAAACACTGCATGTTATCACCATGTGCCTGCATCTGCTGTAACTAACGTAGCATCTAGTCGAGGCAACATTCAAAAGACGTCTACCGTCGAGCGCCCTACTAAGTGCTTGAGAAAATGACGCAGAGGGTGGCTACATCTACGCTCCTCCGGCTTCCCGATCATCATAAGCCAGGGGTCAGAGCGCCCATCCTCCCGGCTTGTTCAGCCCGATGCCAGCCACTCTGCCCGAGGCCCTGTGCTGCAGCGTTGGGTAAGCCCCACAGAGCTCACGGACAATGCCCACGATGACGGGCTGTACTAGGAGAGCCAGTAGATCAGCACAGGGGACCACGTGGATAAGAGCTCCGGAAGAGAGAGTGAGCCCTGGTTGCTGGCTGAGGAGAGGTGGTGCTGTGGACCTCGGCGTGAGGCATCTGGATCCTGACTGGTGGTGGCCTAGTAACTTCCCTAGTAGGAGTTTTGTGTGGCCATTACAACCATTGCCAAACCCAACACAGCAGTGGTGGGTCATGGGAGGAACGGCTGGTGTCAGAGGAAGGAACAGAAGGGAGGAAGGTGCCTGACCCTGCCTCTTGGGGGCTGGGGGTGGGGGGCGTGTCAGGTATGATGCCAAGCGTGCCAGGAGGAGATCACTCCCCTTCACTCTTCCTTCATGGTCCCGCAGGTCCTAGCCAGCAAGGGAGGAAAAATAAATAAAAGCCGTAAGGTTTGGAGACGCGGGGGTGGGTGGAAGAGATGAGAGCCTATCAATATTCACGGAGAGAATCTTATCTACATAGAAAGCCCGCAGGTCCTGCAGATGGATTATCAGTATTAATAAAACCAACCGCATTTTCAGGGCTCAGAAACAGATAGGTAGGAACCTGAAATCTGTCCCCAGTGTTTTAAAAAGGATTCTTGAAGTGGAAGCTTCCGTGTTTCCAGGTGTGCACACTCACTGCGATGTTGCTGGGCAGAGGGCAAGTGCAGGTGGCACACCTTTGGCCACAGGAAGGTGAGGAGCCTGTTGTCTCACTAGATGTTCATCAGAAGACTTCACGGAAAAGATGCTGGTAACACTTGCAGCAAAGGCTAAGCTTATGGACAATTCTAGAACAGACTCTTACACCTCAAAAGGAAGAAATACGGAGAAAAGGTATGCACAGACTCACCAGGAAGAGGAAATGCAAACGACCTATCAGCAGGCGAAAAGAGACAGTCCCTCCTCACCAGACTGAAGAAAATGGCCCTGTCCCAACTCTCCACCTAAAGACAACACAGCAAGGGACGCTCTCGTGCACAGCCCGGGATCCTGATTTTGATACAGAAGTATCAAAATCCCAGAGCCCAGTCACCGCCTTGTGTTGATCCTGGCTCGCAGTGACCCCGCAGAGCAGACTAGCACGGCCCGCTGGGTTTCCGAGATTATACGTCTTGACAGGAGTACAAAGCCTTGTCTTTCTCTCAAGGAGGGGCTGGTGATTTCAAACTGCTGACCTTCAGGTTAGCTACCCAATATGGGAATAAGTACGTGGTCCACAACTAGTGAACACCTCATGGCCCCATGCCACCAAATGCCTGGGAGGTGCCTGAGTCCTCCCTTGGAAGTTAGGATTCCCAGGAAGGAGATTTGAGACAGACAAGGCTTTCTAGTCCTGTACAGTTAGTCTCGGGAACTCACCGGGCAGGTCTAGCCTGTCCCCAAGGGCCACCAGAATGAGTCAGCGTCCACTCGATAGCAGTGATGGCGGACAGGGGTAGTGAGTCTGGGGGGCTGTTTCGAATGGCTGTGGTGTGCAACACAGATTCCACCATCGCACGCCCAAGCTGCTCACTCATTTGAATTTGAAACAAAAAACCTGGTATCCACCTCATCCTACTGGTTAATTTTACTCTAGCAGCCAGTCAATGTCACTTGTCCAGTCTCAAAGCATCTCAGACACAGCGCCACAGGAACACTAAGCTGCAGGTGAATAACGCCTTCCTTCCAACGGTGGATGCCGGCCTCTGAGTTTGCCTAACCAACTCCAGAAGCTGAACGCTGCTCAGAAATCCAGCGTCGCGGGGAGTACAGCACAGGCTAATTTCTCCAGCCTCAACTCATCCGAGAAGACGGGCGGTACTCATGAAGATCACGTGAAGGGGCTTCACAGGGCTCGGGGAATTCCATGATCTTGTAATCCCGTTTCCCACAAACATCTGGCAGCCCTCACTCACTGTGCGCGTCTAGCCTTCATGAGAAGCATGTGGAGCGCTGTCCCCACAATCAGGTCCAGACTCAGCTGCAGTTTCTACTTTCATGGGAGGGGCTCCCCAACCAACCCCCCACCCTGCCCGAGACATGTTCCCTGGAACCAGAGGGCTTTACACTTTGAAAAGGATCCTTAGGATCTTTGACTCCAATCCTTTGACTTTACAAAGGGAGGCCTCTCTGGTCATACCACTACTTGGTCCCGTGCCCCTTCCATCCCAAGTCCCAGGCTCTGAGTGCCCCCGCGGAACGCTCTCTGCCAGCCGGCCCGGTCTGAGAGCTGACTTCTGCAGACATGCATAATCGCTCGCTACCCTTCTTTCCCTTTGCTACAGTGTAAACCTTGGCGTCTATTCAGAACTGTACCCAATTAGATTAGCTTGCCCATAGGTGTAATGGATTGAACTATGTCTTCCTCCTCCCCAACACCTGACCCCCAACCCTCACAGGCCATGAGTATGTTGAAATAAAAACCTGGTACCTGAGACTGTGGGCCGTAAGGAAACAGGGTCTTTGGAAATGCTGTCAGTTAACAGCAGTGGATCCGTAGCCCAGCTGAGCCTTACAAGAGACAGGCGATCTTGGGCTCAGCTGTGCCCCATCTGATGACACGTGACCTTGGGGTCAGAAACCACCTTTGATGGTGACGGTGTCCCTCACCACGCTATCTGCCAATTTCCCTCAGCCGAATCAGTAGTCCGGTGACCAATGACTATCTGCATGACTGCAGGGTGCTCAGAAAGCACGCTGGGGTTTTCCAAGGTCAGAAAGAAATCCTAATTAGAAGTTGTTTCCTTAGAAGACTGTTTAGTCAAAAGGTGTCTTCTAGCTCACTCTCTTTCAACGCTGCCCAGCTGTTCCAGGGGCTCAGGCTGGTTTTCACCTGGCACCTTGACTGCATTGGGCCCTCTGGATATCTCCAACTGTGCTTTGGAAGAGGAACCAGAGGAGCCCCCACAGGGATGCCTGCTTCTTCTCCATCAAACAACGGCCAGCTCCGGAGCCTAATTCAAGGGGATGTGCTTGCGGAGCCCTGTTGGCGGCGGCATGCGTGCTCCATGGGCTACTAACTGTTAAGGCTACCGGTTCAAAACCACCAGCCGCTCTGTATAGAAAGATGAGGCTTTCTCCTCCCATCAAGAGGTGCAGTCTGGGAAACTCACGGGGGCTGCTCCACCCTGTCCTATAAGGTTGCCACGAGTCAGAACCGAGTCCAATGGCAGTGAGTTTGGTTGTCTGGTTCTGGGGTTGGTGGATGGAAGATTTGGGGAAGCTGCTTCCTCAATTTGAACCGAAGCAAAAGACAACTCGTGGCTGGCTTGTTCCGTCACTGTAGTTGCGTTGCTTCTTTTCGTTTCTCGCACCTGGGGAACCCGAGGAAACCCCAGTACGGCTCTACCAATGGAAAGGGTCCAGGCCGAGGAACGAAACAGAATGCTCCCGCTGCTACCTTACTGGCTGATTGAGGAAAAGCAGACCAGGTTTACAGATCTCCACTAGAGACCTCCATCCACTTTCAACCACTGCCTCGGGCCATCTTGCCCTCAACTTGCCAGCCCATCTGCCCGTCATTATTGTGGAACCTGGTTTGGATCCAGGGATCTCTGCATTCAGATCTTTCCCCGAGCTCGCTGTAGCCCACTTGTTGACTAAACGCCACCGTGTGTGTGTGTGTGTGTGTGCGTGTGTGTGTGTGTGTGTGTGTGTGTGTGTGTGTGTAAGGGAGGGGATAATTAACATGTACACAACATAAAGGTTTTCTTGTTAACCCTTTTTACGTGCACGGCCCTGCGGCACTGCCAGCTAGCACATCCTGGGTGCAGCCACCACCATCAGGACTTGTTTCCAAAACCTGCTCACCACCCTGGGGAGACACTCTGCACCCATTCAGCAGCGGCTGGCTCCCTCACTCCCCATCCTGCAGACCACGGAAACCACTGATGGACTTCCCACCTCTACTGATTTCTCTTTTCTCACTCTTTCATCTCAAAGGGAGGTAGACACACACAATCACACAGGAGAAAAATGGCCAGGAGATACAGCTCCAGAGTGCAGGCGGCCTGGAGCCGCCGTTGGAAGCTGGGAGAGACCAGAAAGGATTCCAATTCCCACTGTCACCTCCCCCTGGACCTCCCCATCCCCATCCCAGGGCCCCAGGGGCATAGCCCACGTGACGCCCACCCTCCACAGCCGTGCCTCCAGAACTCTGGGACAATGGATTTCTGCCGCTTGCGGCTGCGGACTCTGGCAGCCCATAACAAAAGAGAATGGGGAGGTCCACGGTGTCCACGGCCGAAGCGGCGGACTTACCCATCAGTCCCAGAAACCCTCAGGACCATGAGCATGCACAGAGGCCTTGGTCAGGCGGCAGCGAGAAGAGACCAGGACGATGACCCACTGACAGCAGAAGCACCTCTACGTCCACAAAGAGATCGATGTGAGGGTGTCTCGTCTGTGTTGAAAGGAATGCCTCCCGGACTCAATGTGTTCTTATGGATCAGGAAAATAATGACAAGGATCACACCAAATTTCTTTTTCAAGGCAGGCTCTCAGAGGAACACAGTCGACTCTCCGTTTTCCCTAGCAAAAATCTTAGAGCTTGACGTACGCGTGAGTAGCTTGTGACACACTTATCAGCTGAACTCGGGGAACACCACATTCCATTAATAAACGCACATTAGCTCAGAGATATGGCATTCCGGTTTCAGACTACAATAGAGTAAGCATCCCCATAAATAAACCAAGTCATGATTCTGTGGTTGCTCATTGCATGAAAGTCGTGATTACACTGTACTGTAGTCCAGGGCTGGGGAACACCCAGGCTGTGGGCCGTACAAAGTGAGTACCAACCTGCGGGTTTTTCCAACCAACATAGCACGCCTCACCAAAGAGAGGAGGTTCCCACCATCACGTTAGGGCCGAGTTAACTGTTTGGCACGTATGGGCTGCACATGATGTTATAAGTACCCGAACGGCCCTGAGCAGAAAAAGGTTCTCCACCCCTGCTGTTGTCTATTAAGGACCTCTGACGGTGTCGTGGGTTATACATTGGACTGCTAACCACAAGGTCAGCAGTTTGAAACCACCAGCTGCTCCATGGGAGAAAGATGAGGCTTTCTGCTCCCATGAACGTTTGGTTCGTCTCTCTGTGAGCCAGATTCGGTTTGGTGGCAGTGAGTTTTGACAGTGTGATATTACAACACGTAATATTATGAGAAGTACCCAAACGAGAGAGACACACGAACTCACCACATGCTGCTGTGGAAACCGATGCCAGAGACTTGTGGCAGTCACAAAATTTCATGGCAACTTGGTATTTAAAAAAGTGTAGGGGTGGAGTCTAGCCTGTCAATCAGCTCACAACCTGAGGGTGCCTTCTTGTGGGTGTGGCCTTCTCCTAAGGAAGGCCCTGGGAACCTCCCCTTCTCTCTCAGCCTCCACCCTGCCTGCTGGCCGATGCTGGTTGCTGTCAGCCCTGTGATGCGCCTCCAGCATTGGATATACGTAACTCTGCACCCACCAACCCGCGGTCTCCCTGCATTCTGCATCATGGCACATGGCCACGTGAGTCTGAAGAGGGACTTATGGACTAGTATTGGACTTAAGGACTTGATCTGGACTGGGCTGGGATGTTTTCTCCACGTATAATTACTTCTTGGTGTAAGGCTCTCTCTTACACACAGGGGTGTCTCTGGAGGGGTTTCTCTATAGTCAAGCCGGCCTAACACAGCAGGGTTGCCACTCACCTCCAAGTTGTCAGAAATGCAGCATCTTCAAAGCAAGAGAAATGAAGTGCAATGAGAGGAGGCGAGCCTGTATCTGGGTTTCTACGGGGTCTACACTGTTACAACAGCTCTTACAACGAAAGCACTCCGCAGAAGCCAGAGTTTTGTTGGGGATTCTGCCTGAATTTTCTCCTGAGAAGATGACAGTTGCAATGGGAGCTCACTGACTAGAGGGAAAAGTCTACAACACTCAACTCAACGAGGAAAAAGTATCTATAGAGTTCAAGGAAAATATCCAAGACATGTCTATGTGACTTGGGGCCCACCTGGGCTCTCCCATGGTTTTGCATGGTTAGCAACACCAAGGAGCTAACCCGGCGCCCAAATTCAGGTGGAATCTTGTCAAAGCCACCCAGTGGCTCTGGAAGTCCCAGCTACTTGCAAACCCTCTGTAGCAGGATCTGTGTCCTACACTACATTTTGCTTTGGGAAACAATTCCGGGGGTGAAAGGAGGGGGAAGTCCACCTTCTCCCTCCGGGCCACTACCCTGAGACTGGTTTGCCTTCCTGGAAAGGTGAAGAGAGAGACAGGTGGTAAGTCACTGGCTAATGGTCGGATGGAGGACCATTAAAATAAACAACAGTGCTCCGAGATAACAGTTATCACGGGAGCCCCAGCTCGGCTGTGTGGAGGCAGCTGGTAGCGGAGTCACTTAACCAAGCCTCTTTTCAGATGAGGTGGATCGGCCTCATTTCTCCAGGGTAACTGAGACCCAGATAGGCAGAGCAGTGGGGCAGCAGGAGGGCAGGTGAGCTATCTGAAAGAGGAGACCAGCATGCCCCCAGACAGAACAGAGCACACCATTCTGAGAAACTGAGGTAGTTCAGGACAACGCCCGATGGATCGGGCAGCAGCGCTGTGCCGAGCAGCTGTTTCTGGCCCTAAGGAGAACTGGAAGGAGGCAGGGAAGGGCGGGGAAAGGGAGCAGGGGGAGGCAGTGGTTTTTCAGTGGTTGATCTGGTGTGTGGGTGCTGGCTGGGAAAGGCCCGTTATGAGGCTCCTGCAAACGTCCAATGAGGAAGAAAGAGGGTCTCAGAGAATGGGGGTAGGGTCATACCTGTGCAGGGCGGAGAAGAGACTGCTTGGGCTCAGCAGCAGGGGTCCTTGGGGTAACACCGTGCCCCTCTCGTTAACCCAGTGCAGGTACCCTCTCGTCATGTCTGCCATCCCGATGGCACGTGCAGAGCAGTAGAGGAACTTATAGCCATTTCTGGAAAAGACAGGAAAAACACGCACTTAGCATCATCGTGAAGGAAGGTGTTTTTGCCGTCACGAACCACGGGTGTTTTATAAAGGAGGTCCCTGTTGAAAGCTCCCTCACAAACAAAGACCTACCGGAGACACAATCTTATTTTGGGGAGCGAGCGAGGCCCGTGGGAACGCACTGCACTGTAGTTTGCTGGGCACATCCACGTTCATTCCTTCATTTATTCTTCACGACAACACTGCTTGGGAGCCTGAGGTTCAGCGCCTCAGACTGACCAACCTCCCTGCATCTGTGCTGTCCATCATTCCCCATCCCCACCCCCACCCACTGTTCCTAACTATAAGCCACCACCCCCCTGCCAGTTCACAGACTGCTCCATCCAGGCAGTGAGGCATGCACCACCACCACCACCACCCCAAAACCACTAAATCCTCCTTCTCTATTGGCTAATGCCTCCCCACCCTCCAACTCACAGTCACCACACTGACACAGACTCGTGGCGACCCTGTGGGCTGGGGCAGAGCTGCCCCGTGTGTCTGAGCCTGCGACTTTGCAGGAGGTGGGAGTCCCGTCTTTCTCCCGGGGAGGGGCTGGTGGGTTCAAACTGCTGACCTTTCGGATCGCAGCCCAACACGTAACCACCACGCCCACCCAGGCTCCTGTGCACTCTCCACCAGTATGCAAAATACGCTACAATCGCTTTCCTAAAATCAAACCAAACAAAAGGCAATCACGTAGAAAACAAAAGCAACCAAAAAGCCCCGGCAAGCCGTAGGTCCTTCTCTGGCTGAAATCCCACTGCACTCTCCCCCCACGCACCACGTTTCTTCAGCCGTTGACAGTCACTGGCTCGGCTCCTCGCTGACTCTCCTCTCCTCACTCCACACAGGCTTTTGTCCCCACTCAGTCAGTGCCCTTGTCAGGTCACCAAGTGCAAACGGCACCCATCGTGCCAAATCCAGCGGCCGGGGCTGGGATCTCGAGTTGACAGCCTGTATCGAGGTACCATTCCACGCCGTGGGCCAGTCCTCCCTGCAGAACACCTGCACTTGGCTGCCCGGACTCCACCATCGCCGGTGGCCCAGTCCTCAGTAGCCACTCCTTCTCAGACCTGTGCCTTGGCTGTCTCCATCTCCTCTGCCCAGACGCCGGAGGCTGGGGTGCCCAGGGGCTCAGGGGTCACTCTGCCCCACCCGCCTGCCCGCCCTCCCTCCCTAGATCATCTCATTGTATTTGCCACACCTAAGCTGAAGGAGTAAGCAGTATTTGTCTGCTAATCACAAATGTACTGCTCTACCCTGTTTCCCCGAAAATGAGACAGTGTAGTATGTTAATTTTTGCTCCCAAAGATGCGGTAGGTCTTATTTTCGGGGGATGTCTTATATTTCAGTGAGAGGCAAAACTGTAAGTAGGTCTTATTTTCAGGGGATGCCTTACTTTCGGGAAAACGGTAGCAGTAGGCCCACGTTTCTGCCACTGGGACTGAGTGTCTAAATGGACATGTGCTATTAGCATAAAGTGCACACCAAGTTTCAAAGGTCTAGTATAAAAAGACAGAATGTACTGTTTCTCAGCTGATAATATTTTAAGTGGTTACATGTCTGTAATGGTCATATTCTGAATAGACTGTTCTACATAAATTAGTTATAAACTTTAAATAACACAGCACTACCAAGGCTCCTGCTTCCTACAGAATTGCTCTTTGCCATCATCGATGCCGCCCCATAGCAACCCTACAGGACTTGATAGGCCAAGGTGGCACTGCCACTGTGGGTTTCCAAACCTCAACTCTTTATGGGCGTAGGAGCCTCATCTTTCTCTCGTGGAGTAGCTGATGGTTTCGAACTACTGATCTCACAGTAAGCAGACCGATGCATTACCCACACCACCAGGGCCAGTACATCAAAAGAGGCCAAACCTGTGACTAGTCTCCTCACAGCCCCCTCCCCACCTCCACCCACGGCAAGTCTCCACTCCCCCACCACCAACTGTCCCCACACTGTCCTCGCAGTACCAACCCAAGAGATGACCCGACTACACCACCCACACCAGCTCCGTTACTGCATCAGCCCGTCACCTCCTCCCCAGTCTCCTCGGGCCCCACCCACCCCACACAGCACCAAAGAAAACGTAATCAGATCCTGCTCAAAACCCCCATCTGTTGGTTTACAGTGGAGCACACTGTTTCTCAGGATAAAATCCAAAAGCTTCGCCGTGGCCTACAGGCCTCTGAAAAACCTGGCCCCGCGGCTGGCTGGTTCCCACCACCCATCTGCTACCTCACCACCCCCACTCATCACACTCCTGGCTAACCACACAGTTGTCGCCGTTTCAGCGGCGGCAGAGCCCATTCTTGGACGGGGCGTTTGCAGGGAGCACGATTCCCCCCGGGGGCCTTCAGCTTGTGCCCTTTCTCTTTGCCAGGCCCTCGCCCCACGATCACCTCCCCAGAGGGCCCTGCCCTTGACCACTCTTTCTACAGCTGAGCGTACACGTGTGCACCCCCAGTCACGCCGGGCACTGCCCCCTGGCTCGGCTTTTATTTTTCTTCTTGCCACTTAGCCCTAAAACCATCCTAATTTGTTTGATAGGCTTGCTCACTAATCATTTGCACACTCATTCCACGCTCTGTCCCCACTGCCAGGAGCAGTGCCCAGCATGCGGGTGGCATTGAGTCAGTACTGGATGAATGGACAAGCACCAAGGACCGACTCCCAATCCAAAGGGGGCTCCACTTCGGACATGCGGTGTTTTATTTTACGGTGGTCAAAGAGCTCAGGCGTGCTTCAGGTTTCATTTAAGTCCAAGAACAAAAGCTTTAAGACGGGAAAAAAGAAAATCTTTCTTTTTATTAGAAAGATCCTCTTGGAGCACAGGGGCCCATCTGAAAAGCCAGAGACCAGTTTAATGAAACATTTCTGTATTTTAGCTCAAGGCTGTGATCATTACAAGAAAACTACTCTTTCTGCATACAGCGCCACCTGTCAAAGTCCTACAGGTGGCCACCTGCAGGGGTCTGGGATGCTAATTTTGTTCCAAACTGGATTCTCAAACAGCATTTCACAGTTTGATGAATGCCACCAGGTTGTTCTCGCCATGCGGGCGTTTGGCTTCAAAGGGCATGACTACATTTAGCCGAGAACCAGCTCCGCGGTGTCGCATCTGGGGAATGCCTGGGGGGGTGGTGGCAGGGGTGCTTCGCCAGAACCCTCACCCTCACGGAGGCTTTGCAAACACTGGCAAGGGCACAACCGGGTGGTCTGGCTGCAGCGGTTCTCCTAAGTTCACCCGCGAGAGTGTGTCTCTCGGGTGAGACCCTTCCCTGAGAAGGGCATGGCCAACAGGTTGAATCGCCCCAGGTCTGCACAAGCCGGACATGCACCCCACCCTTCCCCAACACACGCCGACCAGGCAGCACCTCCCTGTGCATCCACGGCCAGACGGAGGCCAGCTCCGCGGGGACAAAGTGCTGTGGGGGAAACAGGCAGTTCCACACAGAGGACACGTGGAAAAGCAGAGGTGTCCACAGGTTTGGGGGACACCCAGGAGCCAGAAGACTAACTCTGCCTGAGAAGACACAAGAGGATCCATGAGCATGGGCTGCATCTGTTTCCCCAGGATGCTCAGCAACAATGGAAACTGGGCTCTGTCTGGGCAGAGTCCGGTGCAAGAGAGAAAGAGCAGTCCTTTCCTGGCATTATTCCATTTCCCACAGGTACTCGGGCCATTCCAGGTGCTGGCGACCCGGGAGAGGCTGGGTGTCTGAGACAGGACCTCCTGTTGGGAGCCAAGAGCCACATCTTTCTCCCGAGGAGGGCGGACAGCGTGGAATCACTGACCCCTCAGATGGACGTGTTGGGAGGAGCAGCCCTGTGCACTGTTGAGTGGGTGCGAGCCCACGCTACAACCCCCGAGAAGCGTGCGGTGACGATCAAACATGCCTGCAGACACTGGGGGGCGTCCCGAGGTTTGAGAGCCACTGCTGTGGAGGATAAGGCCCTGTATCCCCGAGGGCCTAGCTGCACGCTTGCCATTGTTCTCGGGCACCAGCCAGTCAGTTCTGACTCACAGCGACTGTTTGCGGCAAGAGGAACCACTCTTACTCAGTTGTTCTAAGTCTGAGCCCGTTGTTGCAGCCACTGCGTCAGCCCGTCTTGTCGAGGATCTTCCTCTTTTCCCTGCCCAGCTCCTCTGCCCAGCACGATGGTCCTTCTCTAGGCACCAGTCTCTGCCAACAACGTGCCCAAGAAGTCTCGTCAAGTCTCGCCACCCTGGCCTCTGAGGGGCACTCTGGCCGGACTTCTTCCAAGACGGATCTGTTTGTCCTTTGGGTGGTCCGTGGTACTTTCAACACTCTTCATTCAAATGCAATGATTCTTCCTCGGCCTGCCTTCTTCAGTGCTCTTGATGTGCACTCCTGTTCGACATGTACGCTAACGACGAAAAATAACCACCTGTTGCTTTAACAAACGAAGGGGCTGGGCCGACACAAACATTCTGTTCACATCATCCCACTCTTGCTGGTAGAGAGCGGGCACTAAAGTACACTAAGAAAGTGGTCGATGAAATTAAATACATACTTGCTGCAGACAGGAGAAGGGGGGGGAAGGCCCTACTGAGCAGAGTCCCTGAGGGTCCAGAGATGAACTTGTTTACCTGTGGAAATAATATTAGTATTCATTTTCGCTCTGCCACGGAGACACTGACTTTAATATCATGTTCATGGATGTCACGTGAGCCAGAGAGTAGAAAATTATACTAGCTGTTGTCTAAACAGAGCTTCCAACAGAGCACAACAATCTACAGATTTTAGGCAATAGGGAATTTTGTGTATCTGTTTGTATTTATTAAGTACAGTCACTCCTCAGCTAGGACTGTTTTTTGACATTCCACATTTATGATAAAAGTAAAAAATCTTCCATCTGATGAGCTTACAGCTTGATGAGGTAGGGGGCTTTCTGTCCTGCGGAGAAGGGGTCCTCCAGGCGACCTCCAGGAAGCCAGGCTGCACTGTGGCACCCTCTGGTTCCTCCTGCCAGCAGGAGTGTGGCCAGCAGCGCAGCCTGGTCTGCCGCCAGGACCTTTGGGGGATGTGCAGGCAGCCCCAAGCCAGTGGGCGCTGTTCAGTGGCCCCGTCTCCAGTGTGATTCAAGCCTCTGAAGCTCAGAACTGCGGTGGGGGTGGGAAGGGAAGAAAGAAGCCCCAAGAGGGGAGTTTGGAAGAAACGCCTTGGAGTTCCACATTGAAGAAATGCGTGCGAATGTAATGACATCCCAGAGAATCAAACTGGGCCTGCAGTTCGTTCCTTGTCACGTGGGGCCGGGCGCACGGGGCACCTCGCAGGAGAGAAACGAAGCCTTCTACTCCGGTCATAAGCTGCATCTTGTAATCCCTACAGCCAGCTCTACCCCACCCTGGACGGTCACTCGCTAAGAGCCGACCTCGGCCGACAGCACATGGCAGTGAGTCAGAGTTTGGACAACTATTTCTACAAATAGTTGCCCTTAAAAAGAACATTTTAAGTCACATGGAGAGTCTAGAAACAGGGGTGAACCCCCTCTATGCGGGTATCCCACTCACCTTCACACAAGACACTCCCCCACTCTCCCTCCCAGTAAATGCTTACCGCCACACTTCTGGAGATAGTGAGAAAACTGAAAACTACCTACAGAGTCCATCGATACAACATTAAGCACAGCAGAGTTACACACAATGCAATTCTGTGCGTCAGTTAAAAAGAATGAGGCAAACCTTCTATGTAACGAAAGAAGATACTAGGCATGCTTCAGTAATGTGATTGTTGACGTGTGTCTGGTGGGCAGGGACTATTTGAATGATTTTTTTTTAAGTCCAGCAGGAAGGACCCACACTGTCAATCATTCCATCTCTAGGAAAAGAGTAAGCTTGGTGATAGGGCAGAGGAGGAAACGCTCAGTTTCTATACTTTAAGATTTCTGCCATCTTCGGCCTGGTGTTTTTCAAAGAAGCATTTATTGCTTCTGCAGTTCCTCAAAGCATGATATCTGCAGAAATATCCAATGAAGCCGAGCATCTAAGACGAAATCAGTTAGTTTTCATCCCACTGGGATGTTAACCCGTTCTCTTCTTCCCAAACTTCACTCGCCCTGCTGAACTCTAAGCCCCAGAGGTCGGTCACTATGTCTAGCTTATTAACTCCAAGCACCTGTCACAGGACTGGGTACCTACGAGGTGGTCAATACACATTGGACAACAGAGCGAAGCAAGTCCAGCCAAGCATATTCAGCTGTCTGTGCAGAGTACCAGTAATACCTTAGGCTGACTGCTCAATGCTCCCTGCCTCTAACTACCAACGTGGACCGGAGAGCAGCACATTGAGCCCGGCGTTCCAATCCTGACCCTCACTGCAGGCAGGCGCACGCACTCCTTCTCTACCGGGCAGATCTGAGTGTATTGGAGGGAAAGCTTTGTGGGGAGGGGGGCTCAGTCCATGGGGAACTCGCAGCTGAGACAGAGGAGGGAGAACCCAAATTCCTTGAGGGGACCTGAGCCACAGAGCTATACTGGGGCAAGGCCATGACATGGAGAGTTGGACAGCCAAGGTCGAATAATTTGTTCCGCCAGTCAATTAACATCTGTGAGAATGTGGGCCATCCACTCGCTTCTCCGAGTTAATTTTCTTAATCTGACAACAGAAATGATAATACTTGTTGAGGAGCATGAGAGGATTGGGTACAGTTACCCAGCTGCCTGACTTGAGGTAGCGGTTGGAAGAAACCCACTTTCTTGATGTGTTGGGTTTGGGTTGCCCATGGGCTATTTCGAGCCTTGGCCACTCGTCCCAAGCGCTCCGCCGACCACATACCTGGAGAGAGATGGGCGCTGCTGCGTGGCTCCCAGGACCTGCACCGTAACTGGGAACTTGATTTGAGCTGCAGCTTGACAGGCAGACGCCAGTTACACAGTACTGTTGCCCCTTCATCGGACCCTCTTGAATAACATCCTTCAGTGTGAACTGCACCCCGACCACACCCCAAAAGGATGCTTGCCACCTTCTTCCTCCTCCTAAGAATTTTCAGTGTGTACACCTGCTCTCTTTCTAGCTTCTTGGTAATAAACTCAAATTTGGACGCTCTGGGATTCCCCGGGGCACTTGGAATCCGCCACCACCACCCTCCTTTGCTCCTGCTTGGTTAGGTGCATCCCTGCTGGGTAAATCAGCCGGCGGTGTCCTGGCACGAACGACGCTGTGTGCACAGGGCGCTGTGCAAGGCCACAGTGAAGGGGGCGGCAAACGATGGCAGCAGGGGCTCAGTACTTACTGGCTTACTTTGTGGTACAGCTTCGCTATGCCCTGGTGGGTCCAGTCCTTCCCCAGGGTGGGCAAGATGTGGCCCAGGGTGTCTGATCTAAAGAAGAAGGGTGGAAACGAGAGATGAGGTCATGGCTGTGCGGCCCTCCTTGCTACGACAACGGAACGGCTGCACTCCACGATAAGTCAACTGCATGCCAATAAAACTGTCGGAAGGGGAAAAGTCACAAATAAAACAAACATAATTTACAAAAAGCGAAACTGGCCAAAAGGAACAAAAGCTCATCCCAACCCCCATTCAAGAGCTTTGTGAAAAAAGCAAATGAGCCCCGTGAACTCGTTTCTGAAATAGAAAGGCCCAGGCAAGAGCAATCGAATGTGAGTGCTCAGGGAACGGCCCCTTTCCGTCACGGATGGGGACCTCCCGCCTGATGGTGGCGTTATCGGGCTCTTCAGTGTCCAGGGAAAGCAGCAGGGCCATTCAGACCAGGCATGTTCCAGCACGCGGCCATGCAGGCAGCAGAGCCGGGGAGGCATGCCCTGCAGGGCGGTCATCGCTGGAACAGACACATGCCATTTAGTTAAGGTGACCAGATTTTAACATTGGTAAAGCGGGACACCATTGATAAAACTCATATCCTGGCGAAACAGCCACATGGCAGCTGAAAACCGTATACCCTAGCTTGTCGTGCATTCTTTCCAAAAATCAGGACTTTTTTAAAACGCCACGGGACGCGGGAAAAATTGTTAAAAATCAGGACTGTCCCGCCAAAAGCGGGACGTCTGGTCACCTTACATTTAGCTCACGGAACCGAAACTACCCAAACGGCACCACGGCCCTGCCCAGAAATCCATCCGTACCATGCCACGACCCTCCGGGCGCGGGAGAACCGCAGCACCCACTGGCTGGAGGACCCCGCAGAGTCCGCTTGCGGACCTTCAGAAACCCACCACCGTGCGATCTGTCGCACCTACCGAGTGATTGTTCCATCAATGTCGGAAATGATGACTTTGTCGTCCCAGTTCCACAGGTAGATGGTGCCTTCGCAGCGACAGGTGCCTTGGTACTGCGTGGTGACACTGAAGACCACGTCGTTCGGCCCATTCTTCAGTTTCAAGCTTTTCTGGAAAACAGGAGACAGGGGCCTGCGTGAGAGGCAGGCCCAGAGGGAGGGACAGACGGCGGGCTCTGTTCTACCGGTGAGGCTTCTCCCAAAGAATCCTTCATCTTAGCCTGTTGTACACATCTTCCTTTTGCCTCTCTTCCTCTGGAAGAAGAGGGTCTTTTGGGGACAGGCAGAGAGCCCTCCCTCAACTCTTCCCTCGGGCCCACTGGCAACACGGCCAAGCCCACTTCCTGCATCAGGCTTCCGCGTCCAAGAGCACCGCCCCCTTGCTCAGATATTTCTGAGTAAGAACCATGACAGGGGAGGAAACGAGAGGCTAAGGGGTGTGGCAGCATCAATCCCAACTTCCAAACAGGACAGGCTCCCTGTTATTCCACGACCACACAAGGGGTGCTTCGAGACGTTGGTGGGGCAAATGGAATGAAAAGATAGGAGAAATTCTTCTACCAACTCTGTGAGAGCCCCCAAAAGTGAAATTCTTCCACCAACTCTTGGAACGCCCCCTGGGATGAGGAGCCGTGACGTGGGAAGTTCAAATCACTAAAAGTGAAATAAGTTTTCCCTCAAGAGTCACGTTTTCAATGACTATTAGGTTCGCCCCAGCTGGGAAGTAGGTTTGTCTTGGTTATCACACTTCACATCTTCAAGTCCAGACGAAAAACAAACCAAAGGAATGACACTACATTCAAGGACCTGGCAGTCTGAGCCTGTGTGCTGGATCCTCAAGAAAGCCAGCTGCCTCCCAGCCCCGCAGGGCTGCCTGTCTCAGGGCTCTGCCCCAGGCTTGCTGGAGAGAGCGAGCCAGGGGTCCTGCAGCTGCGGGGACCTCACGGTCCTGGACGCCCTGCAGGCGGTGGTCTGGGCAACACACCCTGAAGACTCCCTTCCGAAAAGCAGGAAGGCGGTGCTCTGGAGGTCTGTCCGACTTGCGCTCCTGTGGCCAGCGTGGGGTGAGCTTCCTCACGGGCGTATTTTTCCAGAAGCCCGTGGGTGCCACTCACATACAGAATGGGGACTCGACAGTACCTCTCTCCAGATCACGCCGTGGGGGCCTGTGCCAGATTCCAACGACAGGCCACACCAGCATGGCTGCAATACATCCTGATGCGCACACCCTGAGTCTTCAAATGCCAGTGTTGAGCTCGGGAAATCATTATCGCTCGGCTGAGAAAGGGGTGGCTCGCGAGTGTCTCAGCACAGCCTTTCTTCCCGGCGTAGCCCCTCCAACTAAAACACATTGGGGACGGATGGTTCTCTAACGGGCTTCTGAATTCCCCCACCCCCCAAAGAAGAAATAGTATGTATTGTTTGGGTTCAGTGAAATCTGTTGAAATAAAGATATCTTCAAATCCTTACAAGGTGAAAGGTGAAATTCTCCGTAGGCCAAGTATAATTAGTAGGGAAATAAAATACATGGCTTAAAACAAAGTGGGAGTGTAGAATGCTGAATCGATCATTTTAATAGCTACTGGAAATAGACTCGCTGGTTGCACTTGAGAGAGAGAGAGAGCGAGCGTGCATGGCTGTCAGGGCCTGCTCATTCTCTTCCCCCCTGCTGAACAGCAGGGCAACCACGCCTGGCTCCCTAACTCCCTAGAACGCTTAGGAGGAAACCAAGAGATGGTACTAGAGAACAAAAGCAAACCAAAAACAGGGATACTGGCTCACTGATGCTTCATGGGGAAAAGCGGGAGGGGGGGTTTCCAACAGTCCCTGAAAAAGTTTAGTTTATTTTTCATCCTTTACATTTTTTAAGATTTAGGTGGAGGTGTGCAAAGCAGGTCATGCGCTTCACAGTCCACAGCTCGCACACCTTCTGTTCCGCCTCACACACTGCAGCCCCCCACCCCCACCCCAGCCTGCTGCTTCCACGGTGCCTCCTCCTTGCTCTCTGCTCCCCGTTCCTTCTTCAATGGCTGATCATTCTAACACGGGGTGGGTTCAGTTCCAGAACTGAAGGGTGACTGAGGGCTCCACCAGTCTCTATGCTCCAACTTTTGGGGGCCTCCTCACAGAACCTAGGGAAGGCATAGGCCATGCTAAAACTGGTCTTACATCCAGGCAGAAAAAGGGCGGGGCAGGGGTGGGTGGGTAGGAATCTGTGGCCAGAGCATGCCGGCCAGCCCTGAGATGCTCGCAAGCTCAGCACAACTGCTGACCGACACCATCCGAAAAGGTGTGTTTGGGAAGGTGAGCATCATGAGCCCAACTCCACCTCACAAATGCAGCTAGATCTGAGCATGTACACTGGTACTGATAAAAGCTCGGAACACAGGGAATCCAGGACAGATAAACCCCTCAGGACCGACAGTGAGAGTAGCCACACCAGGAAGGGAAAGGGAAAGGGGGTGGGGGAGGGGGAACTGATCACAATGATTGGCATATAACCCCTCCCAGGGGGATGGACAACAGAACAGTGGGTGAAGGGAAATATCGGTCTGTATAAGACTTAAATAATAATAAAAATTTATAAATTATCAAGGGTTCGTGAATGAGGGTAGGGGAGGAATGAGCTGATACCAAGGGCTCAAGTAGAAAGAAAATGTTTTGAAAATGATGATGGAAACAAATGTACTAATGTGCTTGACACAATGAATGGATGGATGGATGGATGGATGGATGGATGGTGATTAAGAGCTGTCAGAGTCCCCAGTACAATGCTTTCTTAAAAAATAAGAGAAAAGATGTGTTGGAGCTAAATATACCTAAGCAAAAATGCCCCTAGGAGCCCCTTAAGCTCCACTAGGCTTCCAGGGCTATCTGTACAGGTTTCCAGCGACTGAGTCCCTCTGATGTGGACAGCTGAGTCCTTCGCCAGTGTTCTCAGTCCGGAAGCTCCGCTGACACCCATTCACTCTGGGTGTCAAATGCCCTGCTGGCATTGAAATACCAGTGACGTAGCTTCCGGCATCACGGCTGCACACAAGCCACCCCAGCGGATCAAACTGAGAGACACGTGGTAGCTGGTAGATTAAGGTGACCAGATTTTAACATTGGTAAAGTGGGACACCATTAATAAAACTCATATCCTGGCGAAATAGCCACATGGCAGCTGAAAACCGTATACCCTAGCTTGTCCTGCACTCTTTCTAAAAATCGGGTCTTTTTTAAAACGCCACAGGACGCAGGAAAAATTGTTAAAAATCGGGACTGTCCCGCCAAAAGCGGGACATCTGGTCACCTTATGATAGATACCTGTCTCAACCTGGCTGTAAATCAGTTTCATCAGCCGGCTTTCTTTCCAGAGGTGGGGGGGAGGTGCACAGGTGGAGAAGAGCATCCAGTACTGATGGAAGAGATATTCAACAGCCAAGAACTAGTTGGACATGTGGGGCAGCGAGGTGTCTGGAGGGCACCAGGTACTGTGGGATAGAAAAGGAGCCTGGGGCAAAGAGCAAGATGCCGACCGCAAGAAGACTGAGGATCCAGCCCATCACACGCGGCACACCTGCACGTGTTGCTGGGTGAGGACTGACGGACAGACAGGCACACAGACACGGCCGGGGGGGAACACGAGAGACTCACCAGCTGCTCCGAAGTGAGCCGGAGCGTCTTTTTGTAGCTGACGTTAGACAAGAGCGAGAGGTGGCTGGTGTTTGACGGCTTGGCAGCTGCATGCTCCTCATCACTGGAGGATGACTCATGCTTGATTCTGGAACAAACAGTGATGTAATCGCCAATTAGAAAATGCATCTGGGTGGCCATTAAAAACGCATTAGCCCTGAATCAATGGCTCAGTCCATCAGGCCTCTCCTGAGCACACTGTCTCTTGGGTGGTCATTTACCATATGCCACGAAATTTATCAATGAACCCTCACTAAGTTCCCATTCATACGTCGTCTCTTGCATTATTCATCTGGGGGCTGCTTCTCCTCATTCACTTGACTATTTACCAGCCATCATCGCTCTGTTTTCAACCAACAGGTCTCTCTATTCACGAGAAACGGAATCAAATTCCCCCTTGCCTGGGCGGGCGCTCACAAACACGCTCTGCCTCTAGGCTTGCCCGCCAGCCGCTGTGGGCCAAGCACCCGAAATCCGGACGGCTACGGGCCCACACTGATCCGTTCCAGACACATACCATACCTCCTCGCGGCCCAAACAGTCCCAAGTATCTGGAGATGTCTAGGGCACGCAAATTGGTGCCTGTGGTAAGGAGGAAGACTTGCCAATTCTCCTTCTCCAAATTCCCTAAAGCAGCCACCTTTCCAAGGTGTTACACGAACCACAAATATCACCTTCTGTGCCCACACAGGACCCTGGGGACAATGCTTCTCATGTTTCTGACTTGACGTTGGGTAGAAGCCGTTTGGGGGTTTCCTTTTGGGGGTGTGGGGAGATGCAGGGTGAGAATCATGCTCTTTCAGGAGCTCATAGAAAGCCTCTCTGTCATTAACTGCTACCTCTAGCAATCCAAAGCCTGCTATGACACCTGCCATGACACCATCCCCAACCTGGTAGTAAGAGCTCCGCTTCCCAGGGGCAGGCTCTTGGACAATGTTACACGCTGTCAGGTACTTTGATGATATGTTGCACTTCGGCAAAGTGCTGAGTGAAACCAGAATGACCAGGTGGCCTCTGAGCCAGGCACCGCCCAATCCTGCAGGGGCTTAGCCTTCTGACAGAGAAAGGGTCCTGGGAATCCTGTCCTCACGTCATTTTACACCGCAGGGGGATTTCGAAATGTCCGTGGAAAAGTTCTGTTTTCTTTTCCGCTCCATTGTCCCATGAGATTTCAGAAGCCCCGCTTATGCGGGAGCCCCATGTCGTCTTTTTTTTATCTCCATAAGCTCTTCTTGCCTTTCCATGCGAGTGTCCTCTGGTTCCCCTGCCTCCCGTTCCTCAGCCTTTCTCCCTTCCCGGCTCCCCAGACATCTCCTCTGCACCTGATCACTTGCTTCCCCGTCCAAGTGGCAATTCCGGCCACCTGATAGTGTCCCAGACTGAGAGAGCTAGGGAGAAGGAAACGGCTGGCACAGCACCCCCAATTCTGGATTACTCATGTCACATCGCATGTGGAGAACGGGCTGCTCCCAGCCCAGGAACGCTGTCCCTCCGTGCACTCCGGAGCTACGGGCTGGCAGAGTGGGGCTCGTTCAGCCAATATCATCACCTGTGACGCCAGCCAGCCAGGAGTTGAGGATACAGCAAACAGCCCAGCCCCCATGCTCCTGGGACTTTATGTCTGGCCGGGACCCAGTTTGAGCAGTCACGGCACAGCAGGGGTGCCCTGCTACCATGGGGAAACAGAGGACAATGTGGAAGCATCTGGACTTGGATCAGGACCTTTTAAGAGCACTCTGGGCGGAGGCCGCAGATGGGACCATTGGGCAATCGCCATGAAAAGGGGTGATGGTGAGGAAGGGAAAGGATGGGGAGCTTAGGCCAGCGTTTCCATAGGTCCCAAGCAGGGCTCTGCTCCTCGCAACATCGTGAAACCACATGCTCAGCCCCGAGGGCTGACTCGACTTCAGAGCAGGCTCTCTCAGGACCAGCCAAGTCCCCCTTTGAACTCTGGCTCGGGACGTGAACCTATCACTGCTGTCCCGCTCAGTTCTGACGTCCTTCACTGAAATCGCAGGCAAACGGACCACACACATTGTGGGGGGAGGCCTGAGTTCCACTGAAGGCTTCCAGGCCCCCCGCGGTCCTCTCTCGGCCCAGCAGACCCGTCTGTGGAGGAAGATGCCCTCCTGTCCTGGCACCTGAGCATCCTACGAGCGATATTGGCTCTCCTGAGCGGGCAACCCACTATGGTGCCTACTGGTGCAAGAGGCCACACGCTCGCTCTCGCACCCAAAGCTAGGCAAGTGGAGTCCGTCCCCCACACAAGAGAGGCCAGGGGATCCACTTCTGGGCGGGAAGTTAAACAAAAAACGGTCCTCCTTCTGCTGGGACACACACAGGCGTGCAGGGCTGCCGTGCGCCAGTCGGCTTGGCAGCTTAGAACAAAGCTGGCCGACAGATGCCCGGATGGAGAGGAGGAGAGCGAGCTACAGGCCGCCCTCGCTGCACAGGAACATGTTTACGTTCCCGGGAAAACAGCTTTGAGTGAAATGCGAGCCGAAGGTGAACACAGCTCTGGGTGACAACAGATTGATGCTCGCCTCTGCCAGGGAGGACGTGGAAGCGAAGCGGAAGAGCTGTCATTTCCATCTGTTGCTTGGGGGAAAGGAAAAAAGGAACCTAAATGCCTGTGGCGTGCCATGTTTGAGGGCACACCGAGAGGAAAACACAGACGCAGGGACTCAAACAGGGGCTGTACAGCTGGCGGCCGAGCGCTTCCGCGGGGGCACGTGAACGGCCACCAGCAGATGCACCTTCGGGCGAGACAGTGGGAGGCCCCGCAGTCCCGGTCCACCAAGGGCCCTCCCCCGGCCAGGAAGCAGCGCGTGGACCCGGGCTGGTTTCCTAGAGACTCGGCAAAAAGCAGCCACCAAGCAAAAGGGCTGGGGAACTCCAGGCGACGCGGAGGTCAGCGCTGTCGCAGAGCACGTTGGTCAAGGCTCTTTCAATGGCCTGTGTGGGGACAAGCTGGCTGCTCAGTTGGGCTGCGGGGACTGTTCCGTCAACCGAGCCTGTCGATTAGAAAAGCACTCCAGCGCTCGTTGGGAGGTTTTGTTTTTGTTTTTAAGTTGGCTACGCGGAGCTAATCATTTCTCATGGCCACGAAGAATCTAAGATGCTAGCCTAACTTTAACAAATAATAAAAAATACGTTTCAGAGATTACAAATCTTTACAGGACAGAAAGCCTCATTTTGCTTCCCGAAGGGAGGTTGGTGGGTTTGAACCTCCAACCATAGGGTTAGGAGCCCAAAGGATAGCTTATCCACTGAGCCCGCAGAGCTTCTGTTCAGAATAGGGAATATGCCTAAAATGTTTACATTTAACCTCACTGGGAGAAACATTGTGTCAGCCTTTGGATGGGCTGTTTCCGCCAGTGTAAACTCCCCAGCACTTTGCAAATGAAGTGCAGCTGCTGCTCCCTCCGCCCTCCCAGCGTCCTCCTTGGTGCTCGGTGCCAGAGAAGTCATCCTCCCGTGGTGACAGCCGGCGGAGGCGGCAGCCTCATTCTCGCCAGCCCTCCAGATACCAGACATTGTTCTGTGCCATCCCTCTGAAACAGTGGTAAGCCTTGGCCCCGTGGTAAGGGTCTGCACACAGAGAGACATAACCAAAGACAAAGGCCCTGCCATAGGGTCACTGCTGACTCACAGTACCCCCTGTGGGTTTCTGAGACTGGAAGCGTGTACAGGAGTAGAAAGCCTGTTCTTGCTCCCTCAGAGCTGCTGGTGGCTTTGAACTGCCGACTGTGCAGATCGCAGCCCAACATGTAACCCGGACACCAGGCATGCCCAGGCTGAATTTGGCAGACGCCTCTTTACTGTGTTCCCACACATCTGTCAGAATGTCTGAACCCAGCTAGGGCATCCCAGGTCACCTCAGGGCCGGCTCTCCTGGCTGCTCACTCACACGTTGCACCTGGATCCCACTGGTTTTTGCACTCTTGACTGAACTGAAAGAAGGGCCGTTCCCATGAAGCATGCGGCGTGGTGGGGTTCCTACCTCCTTTCCAAACGCACGCTCTGATGCCCACCATCTCTAAGCAGCCGATTCATTTGCCAACACAGGGAGTCTGACACCGTTCCTGTTTTGTGCTGCCTCTCCCGCTGGGAAGTTACCCCAAGGACAGGAGGCTTGTGTGGAAGAATCCCAGGCGTGCATGACGCACCTGGACCGCGGAAGCGCTGGTTTCGGTGGGGGCAATGCGCAGGGTTGCCTCTTCGCTCGGGTGCCCTCTCCCAGACACTGGGGTCTCTCCTGTAGTCTCCGCGTCCTGCTCGGCTGCTACTGGTCAGGTGTGTCAACGTCACACGTTCACCTCTGCTGGGGTCAATGGCTGGCCTCCAGGCCGGTGGTTCTTGAGGAACTCAGCCAGCATTCCCAGGCCATACTGTGTCTGTTCCGGCCAGTGGCCTCCCGTAAATAGGACTAAATACCCCAGGTGACGAGCACCCACTGGGTGCTGTGCCGAGCTTTCCAGAAGATGGCCCATTCTTAGCCTGTCCACCACCTTGAGAACACCCACCTTCTCCCCTCCAAGTCCACGCAAACTCAAAGCCCCATGGTGGAAACGTATCCAAGTGCGGCAGTTGGGTGACTCTAGGTAACTGGATGCTCTTGCCTAGGAGTGAAGCCAACCTGTCAATCACGAGGTAGCTTGATGGCACCCCCTGAGGGGGAGTGGCCTTCTATGTCAGAGTGAAGGACTCTGGGAACTGCTCGCTCTCACTGCCCCTCTGCCTTCCTGCCTGCTGGAACTCGGCCTGTTTTGAAGGGTGGCCCACGCCTTGACATGTTTCCACTGACCGTGGACACACGCGGCTTGGCACCCACCAGCCCGTGATCTTTCCCACTTCACCGTTCTGCGCTGCTGGCATGACGCTACGTGAATCGGACGAGGGCCTGAGGGACCAGCATGGACGTACGGACTGGAGTTGGACTGGCCTCCTCGTGATATGAGAGTCCTTGTCGATGGAAAGATCTTTCTGACTCATCTATCGGTGTCACCTGAGTTTGTCTCACTAGACAACCTGGCCTAAGACACCAATACTCTTGCGTGAAAGCCCTTCCCCAGAGAATGAGTGGGGTCACCAGGCAGGTGGAAAGTCACAACCACACGGGGCAGCGCCGAGGAAAACAGAAACGTTTGCCATTGGTCATCTACCAACCCGGAGCCGGCTCAGCCACTGAGAACCAGACTGAAGAGCCACAGGGTTTTCGGTCTGGGCTACACACTGCACCACCTTCCTCTTCTCCACAAGAGCGCAATAAAGAACCTGTGTTTTTTCCCCACTTGCCATCGGAAACGGCAGCTCTCCGCCCGGGAAGAGAGTGACCGGAGTTGGAGGGTGGCAGCGGAGCCTCCTGCTGCTCCTCGCTCACACTCACAATAGGGCCCGTCCATCCCGTGACAGTTCAACCACACTCAGGAAATGCCTAGGAAGTGCCGGGCACCGGCTTGCCTCTAAGATACCAAAAGGAAAAAAAAAAAAAAAAAAGATTGGGATGTGGATCTTGCCCACGGAGAACGGGCTACGGTGTTTCCTGACATGCGGATCCGGGTTTCACGAGCAGAGGAATACTGTACGGAGAAGGTAAGAGGTGAAACGTGGTTTGCTCCGAGCATTGAGTGTCCATATGCGCTATTACCTTCGCAATGCAAGTGATTGGACTGTCTTTAAACTCCCCCCGCCCCTCCCAAGCCCGTATCAATTGATTACCGTGAAGACAAGACACCTCGAATACTGATCAGATCACCACAGTCTAGTCTCTCCTGTGCCAAGTTAACGTGTACGCACATCGGTACTTGCAAGCATCGGCTTCAGTCCTGGTGACTGTTTACACTGTGACGGAGAACGCCGAGTTCCTTTAGTTTACTGTCATTGGGAATGCCATTAAGGAGCCCCGGTGGAGTTGTGGTTAAGCATTGAACTGCTAGCCCATAGGTCAGCATCTCAAACCCACTGGCCTCTCCACAGAAGAAAGGTGAGGCCAACTGTTCCCATAAAGATTTCCAGCCTCAGAAACCTCAGGAGTGAGGAGCTTGGGTTTAGGTTTGGGTCACTGCTCTTGTTGCTTCTGTATACCTGGTGTGGCCACAGTCTGGGGACAATGAGAGAGGCTCTCTTTGCAGCATCTCTTTTAAGCCTTACACTTTTACCTTGTACAGTAACTATCTAAGATATATCATACATCGTAAAGACAGGAAAATCTATGGATATCAAGAGCTGCAGGTCCGCGAATGAGTGCCAGAGCCAGGGCTGGCACCTGGGCCCGGCTCAGTCCGAGGCCTGGTGAGCCCTGTCCGCATCCACAGGCGGCCTGGTGGTGCAGTGGTGAAGTGCTCAACCACCAATCAAAGGCCATCAGCTCTGAGCCCTCCAGCTATGAGCCCACAGAAGGCCGTGGCAGTCTGATTCTGTGACGATTGTCGGCCTTGGGAACCCACAGGGGCAGCGCTACTCAGTCCCACGGGGTTGCTGTGGCTTAGAATCCTTTCAACAGCAATGGTCTGGGCCAGCAACCAATGGGCATGCACCGTGACTATGGCGTGTGACGCTCAGCTCCCACAGAGTGTAACATCCCAGGGAGCCTCTCCCGGTACCTGGTGGCCATGCTGAGCTGTGGTGGCTGCTCTCCAGTACTGTGGCTCTTGGTAGCCAAGCCCTGCTCCGGCTTGCTTTCCTGGAGAAGGACACAAGAGGAGAGTCATGGCAAAGACCAGAGAAAGGGCCTGAGCCACAGCCGGGGTTCTAGCACAGGTTCCCACAGGGCCCCTGGGTCAGGTCCGAGGGGACCCACCCCGGGGGTGCGCATGCCAGGGGTCGCCCTGCGAGGGTCAACTGTTCGTTCCAGGTCCGCCTATTTGGGCAGGTCCTAGTGACGCCTTCCCTTAGCAGAGAGACCTTCCTGACAGAAATGAGTCTGTTACCCCTAAGTGTGTGTGGCCGCACACCACACTCTACGATCGATCGCTGTAGTTCATGCAAGTGCCTGGATACCCGAGGGCTTCTAAAATATCTGCTTACAATTGCCGGTCGAGAAGTGGAAGGAAAAAAATGTGGAAGCATTGTCTCTTTTTGAAAATGTCATCTTTTTACTAGAAGCCTGCCCCTTCGGGGTCGTGGGAAGGGTCTTGGACTTCTAAGCAGAACGGGGCTCAGCCCTGCTCCTCTCACTTATCAACCCGGGGTCCGGTTTCCACATCTGTAAAATGGGAGCATCAATCTCACACAGGGCAGGAAAAGCCGGGGGGCCTCCCTGGCAGCAGAGGGTTCACTAAGCTGTAAGAGGCAGGCCAAGCAGGAAGGTCGGCGGAACAAGGACCCTCAACTACTCGCCCTCGTGTGGCCGTGGGCCCGGAGAGAGCCACTGATGTCTCCCACTGCACTGTCTCAGTAGACACGAATAAGCAATACAGAGGGGCTCTCTGAGCACATGGTGTGTGCAAACCAGTTTCAAGTATCTGTTTAGGTTAACAAAGTATACAATTAATAGAACATATCCAACCATCTTTTAAAAAATTATTTAGATAAGGAACTTAGCCGATGCTGAGGGCAATTTTTCATCGGACAGTTCCATCTATCTTGAATGCATGATCCTTCATTTCTTTTCATAGGTTTTCAGCTTGAGAAATATCCCAGTATTTCATTGTTATTCCCCTCAATCCAAGTAACTAAAGATGTTTTTGAAATAGAGATAAGAACTGATGCAAGGGTTCATAGGGAAGGCAGGGGCAGGGTGGGAGACCGAGGGTGAGGGGCCTGGAGGAGCAAACAATGTACGTGGGAGCAGGGAGGGCGAACTAGGATGGATGGCGATCACACAATTCATTTTAAAAGAGATTTGACGGAGGGGTGGAGGAATGTTCCAAAATCGATCGTGGTAATGATTGTACAACTCTTTGTGATATGACTGAACTATTGAATTGTGAAATCTGGAAGAAGTGCCCATAAGACTGTTGAAAGATCTATATATCCATCTGCCTCAAAATCTAGAACATTCTGTTCTGTAGTCAGGACCCGAGAAGCCCCTGAACCCGCTGCCCAGGAGATGATCCCGGCTCACCGTGGCCTTGATAGGTTTCTGAAGCTGTCGACCTTTCTAGGAACACACCCCCTCAACTCTCTCCTGCAGGGGGACAAGGGGTTTGAATCTCCAATCTGGTGGCTACCGAGCCAGTGCTTACCCAACAATGCGACCAGAAGCGTCCTTTAGGTTATAAACCCCGTAAGACAAAGCACGCACTCGGGTCAATCTAGAAAGTATGGCTGAAACATCATGGAACTACCCAACAAACACATCACAACTGGAACGGATGGTTTCCTTGACGACGCGTCTCCCTGCAGGTCTGCACGCTTCTTAGGGCAGAGTCTCCATCTCTCTCTCTCTCTCTCTCTCTCTCTCTCTCTCTCTCTATATATATATATATATATATATATATATATATATATATAATTCTCTCTTCCCAGGAGAATTCCGCACTCCTCCGTTTGCACCCGCTCAGAAGGGCAGCTGTGGGATCCACAGAGGGACCCAGTAGTGGTCGTTTCCTTCTTACGCAGTATTTGTATTTTTGTCTTTGTACGATTATGATCTTAGCCTGGCCACGTTCGTGCGATTATTCTTTATTGCTTTCTGTTGGATGGCCCAGCTGTGAAGCACAGGAGGCGTGTGTTCATAATGATAATAACTGATACACAGGAGGCGTGCGTTCATAATGATAATAACTGATACAGGGAACATAGGGAACAGGGGGGGAAAGGGGATTTGGGGAGTTAATCATGAAGGTGGAAGGGGGAGGGAGCACTAGAACGGATTGTGAATGCACAACTCATTTTAAAGGAGCTTTAACCATGGGGTGGGGGTGGGGGGGAGGCTCTACGGTGGATGTGGTGGTGACTGTACAATACCCCTTGATACAACTGATCGATTGAACTACTGAATTGTATGATATGTAAATTATGTGCCAATAAAACTGTTGGGAGGGGGTGTTACTTCTTAGTTGAGGGAGCGCAAAGAAGTCTGAAGGGGCAAGATCTGGGTGGACGTAGGGTTGAGGGGGCACGGTGTCTCCACAAAATCCTCATAGGACAGCCCTCCCTACCCTGCTGGATTGAGCAACGGGGAGAATCATTCAGGACAACTTTTCTGGCCTTTTCCCTCATCAATGTGGTTTTCTTAAACATAGTCCACCTACGCCCCTAGGATCATCCTGTGTCCTTTATCCTGTATCCTATGTCTTTTGAGAGAATCGATCAAGAGGACCCCTTCTGTGTTGACCTCTCTGCCTGGGATGTAACTGGCCTGACAGGTCCCCTCAAAATCACTGTGTGGATTGGCTCTTGCTCTCTGTAGAGTATTGCTCACCCTAAGACGCGTTTCCCTTGACATCGGTTCCAAACACCATCTTCAAGAGCTTCGATCTTTTGTCACCATGGAAAGACGGGCTCTTTGAGCTAGCTGATCTTCCTGCAACACTTCTGGTACTCACCCTTCGAGCCAAAAGCCTCCTGAAGTCATAATGCTAGCTTTGAAGGGAAAATGTTGGACCAGGTGCGATCACCCCTCAGCAGCCACGCCATCCACGGTCAGTCTACAGGCTTCTCGCACCAAGGACAGCACAGTTCCTTCCTCCGTAGAGGCTCCCGGTCTTCCCTCTTTTACTTCGTCTCTGAGGTCTTCTCAGCTTCCCTGAAAGCCACTGACACCTCTAAAAACTCATTTCATGTGGAGCAACATTCCTGTAAACTGGATGCAGAGATTCAAAGACTGGGGGGAAATGCCCACTTCACTTTGTTAAAAATTTGATAGTAGCCTTGAAGTCAAAATCGTCCCGTCCCCCCCCCATGGGACAAAAAGTGTCTTCTTTATTAAAAAACAAACAAAAAACTATCTTCTTTTTTGAAGGCACCGTAAGGAGACTAGAGTAAGTACATTACTGAGAGACCTCGGTCACTAAGGCATGTTTAAACACCTGTCCTTTGGCATGACGCCGTGCATGTATGAGCTGCCAGAAGCAGGAGGGCAATGCTGCCTGATCTAGCCTCATGTCTGTACTCTAACTTGTTTAGACCCCTTGGAGACAGTGTGCAATCAGTAAGATCCAGGAATGCTAACAGAACATGTCAGCGAATAATTGTATCTGCCCACAGGCTTTCCCCCCATCTGAATTCACGGGGTGCACACAGTGCCGCAGGGCTTTCTGTGACGGTTACAATGAGTATCTTGGCTGCCGTCTTCTGGACTTTCCCTACTACGTTCCCAAGGAAAGCGCACAGCAAGCATTTGCCAACCCCCTGCCCTACCTAGGTCCCCTACAGTCTCCAGGGCGACCTCAGGATGAAGGTCATATATCACCTCTGTCTTTGTGGAACTTATGGTCCAGAGGTAAAAAGTGATGCTGATGAAACAGCCACACTGAAGACTGTGTCAAGACCAACTCCGACAAGACCTGTGAAGAAAAGGTGCACAGGACTATGGGAACGGACTCATCCGCTAAGAAAGGACCATTTGAGCAGCTAGATAACTAAGGGTCCTCAGACCACTAAATCATAGAAGGCGAGAGAGACGGAGAGAGAGATTGCCCCTGAGTGGATTCTGACCCATAGCTACGCTGTAGAACTGCTCTGTGGGCACCTGAAACTGTAACTCTTTAGGGAGCAGACCGCCTCCTCTCTCCCAGGAAGCAGTTTCAACCGCCGACCTTGAGCAAGAAAGACCTGGCCATTTCCGCTCCCTGAGGTTTAAGCCCAGCATCCTCGGGGCTCCTCCTGGACGCACTAAACAGGAAATGCTCCAGGTAAAGGTCGGGGGCGGAATGATGCTCTCAGCCAGAGCGCACAGGGGGAATGGCAAACGAAGAGGCTGTGCTGTGAGGCAGGGGTGGACATGCTCCGTTCATTATGAGAGTCCTCAAGAAGGTTTCAGCAGGAAGCTATCTAATTTAGCCGCTCTCCTCATTATAGCCGAGGAAAAAGGTGATCCAGATGAGGGCGAGGAACAGGCAAACAAGTAAGCAACCCAGACTCCTGAGAAGTCTTCCTGGAAGAGATGGCAGCAGCCGAGATCTGTAGGCCAGGGGATGGTGGAGAGAAACGGACAATGCTAAGGAATACTTGGGTAGTGCAGGGCCCTGACCGGTTGGTTACGGGCTGAACGGAAAACAGAGTCTCCTCGTCTGTGGAAGAACCACTGTGCCACCGTCTCACCAGGGCGCAGGAGAGCTCCCGAGAGAGCCGGGAGGTCCACTTCAGAAGCTACGGGAGGAAGTGTCTCAGAAGCCACCATGTGGAGATGTCCACTCCGCTGGGTAGTCGATAAAGGGACCGGGAACGAGAAGAGATGTGGGGTTTGGGAATAAACACGGAGCCACCAGCCCCCGGGGGCATGGGTGAGACAGCCTGGGGGAGCACAGGAAGGAAACGCAGGAGGGGCTCTGAAGAGACCCTGGAGGGGGCTACAGAGAATGCTAGGCCGCACCGATGAGACAGGGGAGAAGAGGAAGACACGGTGTCCGGGAAGCAGCCCAAGAAAGTGCTTCAAGAAAGAGGTCATCACAGAAGAGACCAAAAGGGCTGGAGGCAGAAAAATCACACGCACGCACGTGTGCACACACACACACTCCTAAAAGCTCGTGGAAAACTTCCATCTTTTCATTCTATTATCCCAGGAACCTCATGAAGCCATCTCACACATGTGGATTTCTGTCCATGGAAACCACAGTCATAGAGAGGCATCAAAATGGAATTTGAAGACTGTTGTGGACGCACTCCAAGAAATTTTGAAGCCTAACCATAATCCACCAACCAAGTATGGAAAGGGAAATGGGGACCGGCTCGCACTCTAAGCAAGGCTCCTGAGAACTAAGCCTCGGGAGAGGTCAGGGGATATTTAAACTTGAAGGAAAAAGAAAGGGTGCTGACCACCCTCCTATCACTACGGAGCCTACAGACAAGGGAAGTCCCGAGGGGCGTGACTGGGCCCCGGCCCGCAGGTGGCAGGGCATCGAGCCAGGAGATGGGCCCCGACTCCCTGCTCAGCTTCCTCCCGAGCTTCCTCACATTCCGGGGTGCCTCTCCCCTGCCCTGCAGCCCAGCTGGGTCACGGGAGCTCGGTCGTGTCGCGGCCGCTACTCGTGTCTGTCACATGAGAACCGGCACCGGCACCTGTCGGCGAAGGCAAGGAGAAAGGCGGTTCCTCTTCTGTGCTTACCTCCTTGATTGTGGAGTTCCTTCCCCGCCACGAGAACCACCATCGTCCTCCCTTTTTGGGCATCTTATCCCTCATGATAGACTCCACCGTGGCCTGTTTTGAACGGATGGCAACATAAATAACGGAACCAAAAAAAAGAGTCAACTCAGCACAGTCAAACCAAAAGACACGCATGTGCAACTTAAAAGGGAGACCGGAAAGAAGTCGTACAGAGAAAACACAACGTACTGTTTGGGAGTTAAACACTTTAGAGAAGCAAAAGCGAACGGTGTCCAAAATGACCGTAAGGTAACTTAAGCACGAAGACTTAAGGAGATGTTAATGGAAAAGTAAAATCAAATAAAGCCACCCGGCGAGCGAGACAAGACGACAGGAAGGAAGAAAGGAGAAAAGAAAGCATTCAGTATCACTGGTGATGAGCAAGGCCAAACGCTGTTCAACGACAATGCTTACTGCGTAAGCGCGTAACACCTTCAGGGTGACAGATCAGAAAATAAAAAGTGAAATGATTACCATGGAGTGTACGATACCAGTTTTAACCGAACAGTAGCAAGCAGAGGTCTGCCTTAGCGAGGGTGAATTTCCAAACGCTTACACATGGGATCCTAGTAGATGCATTTGACTTATAACCTCAAAGACTAAAAAGAAGATTCAGACTCTTCGCCTTTCAACTTAAAATAAAGTCTGATGAGGAAAGACTAAGTATTTGCGAGGCATTTCCAAAGGATACACGTCTCTCGAGAGTGGGTCCTAGAACCCACGTCTTATCTAATCCCCTTCGCAGTTTACAGCTATCCAGTCACCAAAACCTCAACTCGTGAGGAAAGCAGGGCAGAAGTCGCTCAACTGAATATGTAGCACATAAGTAGACAAATAATTCACATTATTTAGCCTGAGTGTGCTTCATTTGGTCATTTAAAGTATCCCTGATACAAAAGGAAACTATGAATATATGAAAATGCAAAGATGAGAACCCCTTAAAAGATATCAATTCACCTATCCCACACCAGATTCACCCACAAACATAACACAGACCCAATTAAACTCTTTTGTTTAATTATTAAGGCTGTTTTCAGGCCTACACAAACTGATTCTAAAGCTCACTTAGAAAAACAAAAAAAGAGTAGCTAAGAACATTTTGAAACAGAATAACTAAGCACAAGTCCTCCCAGCTATTAAACTGCACCTATAAGCTACAGTAATTAAAGGAATGCAATACCAGTACACAAGAAGACATACCACAGAACAGAAATGAAAGTCCAGAGACAAATCAAAGTTTACAGAAAAATGTAATGTTTGATGACGTTCCAATGACCTATACGTAGCCTTGAGATAATTCAGGAGCCCTGGAGGTGTAGTAGCTAAAAGAGTTGTCAAGCAAATGGTCAGGGGTTCCAATGCAACAGCTACTCTGCACAAGAAAGATGGGGCAGTCTGTTTCCATCAAGACTGACCACCTGGGAAACTAGGAGCCACCGTGATCCAGCCCGTTAGGACCCATAGCCACCAACAGGGCAGAACGCAACAGCCTCTTTCATTGCCCAGGCCATCAACCATTACAGCAGCGGAAAGCCTCATGCTCCTCTGAGTAGGGACTGCTGGATTCCAACCACTGACCTTGAGGCCGACATAACTCACACCACCTCCAGGGTGCCACTGAAACCCCCGTGTCGGGGCGAGTCAGAATCGACTCGGCAGCTATGGCTTGGTTTGGGGCCTGACAGGGTTGCGTGGGACTCTGGGCACATTATCCCCATTGTCCCTTGCCAGTAGATCCCAAACTCTGTTCAGAACTCAGGCCAAAGTCATTCAGAGTCATGCTGCTGCTCTGATTTAAGGGTGACTGTGTGTCCTTTATGACCAAGAAACCCTGAGACATCTTCCCCTTACGGCCAAGGGAACCTGAGCCGTCTGCCCCTGGCTTCCTGTTGTGAACGTGGCTGGCTGTGTGAAGCCATGGTGTGCGACATGATCTGTGTGAGACCACAAAGGGAGAGCCAAGAAAGACCCCGAAAAGTGAACTCACATGAATCAAGGGCGACCCCTTGACTTGTATGGTTTGTATTGTGCAAGAGAACAAGCTCCTATCACGGAAGCCACTTTTATAGCCACTATTTCCTGCAACAAAAACATTCTAACTGGTTCAATGACCAGCTTCGGGTGGGGGTGTGGGGGTGTTAGTTTCCTGTTCATTGCTCATTCTCCTCAAAATAAAAACTCGATGGATCACACTCATTCGTCACTTGCAAAATAAATTCCATATGGATCAAAGATTTAGCATAAAATAAAGTACTAGACGATAATACAGCAGTTTCGTTTTAGGAACACAGAAGCCGGGCTAGTCTACAGGTGAAAATCAAGCCCAGGTGACTCCTCAGCCCCTTTACTTGTGTATGTGCATATCATATGTACATATGTATGTGTATGTGTGTGTGTACACACACACACACACACACACACACACACGTCACACAGCCTGCCCAAATCTGATCAATGCATCTCCCATCTGGCCACTTCCCTCAATCTGCATCATCTCTCACCTAGTTACTGCAAAAAAAACTTACATCTAATCTACCATTTTTCTCACCTCAGTCTATTATCAATGTAATAACCAGGTGCTAAAAAACTTAAGTCAGATCACATCACTCTGCTCAGAACTCTCCAAGGCTTACCCATTGCACCTATTTAGAGGTGCTGGGGATGCCAAACGTAGGGACATCGAGAACTGCCAAGCAGAGAGAAGTGGCCTGAAAGTGAGCCGGGGTTTTCACATGAAAGCGAGGAAGAAAGAGTGATCCCCTGGGCCGGTGCTTCTGATGTGAAAGCTGACTGCTGGATTTATCACCATGGGGGTCCCTTGTGAACCTGGTCAAGTTATCTTGGTGCTATTGTCTGGGGGGGAACATTGAGCGTTGTGGATTCCAGGCACAAGTGAAACCGCACCAAGTCTTCCCAAGAGTCTACTATGATATGGAGGGTTCTGGAGAGATGGCACCACTGATAGTATGTCTCTGCCAACAGTACTGCTGGTGGAGAGAAGAAGAGTGGTGGCGTGGAGGACAGAGGGAAGACGTGGCTAGATTGGCGCCCATGCGGGCCTGGGTTTGAAATATTGGAAGGTCGTCGTGAGCAGGAGAGTAGACAAAGGGCAGATACAAAGGAAGGGTCCCGCTGCGTGCTTCCATTTTCACAGTGAAAGAAGAGAAAACAGGTGTCCGTGGGGAGTTAGGAAGAGGGACGACCAGGCTGGAGATCTGAGGCGGCAAGACAAGGGTGACCCAACAGTCATCTAGGAGAGCGGGGGAGCCAATGGACGACGAGAGCAACACTGCACTGTGGTCCCTGGCGCCCCTCCGCCGGTGCAGCCCGTCTTCCTGCAGGCGTGCCCAGCTGCACCCGGACAGGCCGAGCGTGGGGAAACTGGTCAGCCAAGGTTGTCGCATGAGGCAAGCAGAGTCGCAGTGTGCAAGTGGCGAGGGAGTGGGAGGGTACCCAAGACACAGGATGATGATAATGTGTCCTAGAACTTGAGCTGGGAAAAGAAGGGAGCGAGGACTTGGAGCAGGTGAGGCTGTGAACACGGGGTAGGAGAACTGGATTCAAAACCCTCCAGGCATCCAAGGACAGCTGGCGTGGAGGAACAAGGAGGAGGAGCCAGAATGGCAGACTGTGGCAGCAAGAGAATGGAGAGTCTGTGATGAAGACACTGAAGAAAGAATAGCAGTTCCCAACAATGACAAAGCCAAGGGACAGTGCCGTCCCCCTGCATCACAAGAGTGAGAGAAAGGAAGGTACGAAGGACATGTTTCAGTAGGGGGGACAAAACTTACAGCTAACAGGAAGACATCAGATGCAATAAAACGGCAAGCAGAGACAACGATGCCACACAGGGACAGAGCTACACAGGGGCTGGTCCTAAAAGGCCAGATAACCCCAGTGGTGAGTTCAAGGATAGCTACGACGAAGAAGAACTCAAATGCTGGGTCAATCACCACAGCAGAAGGAAGCGAGAGGTCCAAGTACTGATCTCATCCCTGAGCACAGGGTCAAATTCTTATATTCCCCATGAATGAAAAAAGACGGGCTGAATATCTTTGGACTCTGTGTAAGTTAAGCTTTGGGGAAAATCTTTAAAAGAGATGAAAATCCAAACAGAGAGTAGAGAGTGATTTAACCAACCAAATGATAAACATCCACTATTTTATCTTGTACACATCCGCTACGTGGTGTTCACAAGAGGGGCTTTTGAAATGTTAAGAACACAGTGGAGTAGAAAATAAACAGAGTAAACAGAAAGCTAAAGAAAGCTAGCCTGGCCAAATTGACACAATACAGAACTGAAGGCAAAAAGTATTTTAAGAATAAATAGATCACCACATCCTAATACAAACAGTCATTCCTGAAGTTATAAAGCCTAAAACACACACACACACACTTTAAAATATAAAAAGATGCTGTGATAATAGAGGGATGGGAGAATTACAGATATCCTAAATAAACAATTTACCAAAAAAATTAAGATTCTTTACCAAAAAATTTTACGAGACTCTTTCTCCCAGCATCTACCTCTTCTCTCCTGAAGGCTGAGATGGCCAGACCCTGAGCTGGCACCTTCCTCGAAGAAGCAGGCACATACATGGCTTACGACCTGGCTGAGCCACACGGGGCACCAGTGCGGGCTTTTGGTGTCTGATGAACTGCTGCCCCACACCCAGCTCAACACCTCTGGCTGCACCAGCCCCCCGACTGTGACCCCCTTCCCTGTGCATTCTCACTTGCCTCTGAGCATCCTGGATCCCACCTGCTTGACTCCCTAGCACGATGCGGTGGCCAAGAATCATGGAAGAGACAGGGCTTGCTCTGGTTGGGGCCAGGACCAGTAAGCTTCTTCACGGATAAGGACCAAGGTATTCGAGAAGCAAGAGGTGCACAGAGGGAGAGACTGACCCATCTGAAACTACTGAACTGTATGCCCCGTGAACTTCCAATCAGCGTGATGTCATTCACTATGTGGGATCGCAACTAAACGTTAACTTCCAACTGGCCACAGGAGCCCACCCGATCGTTTGCGGCCCCTCCCTTTCTTTCTCATGGTAAAGCTCACCTTGGGCAAAGGTTTCTGGAAAGCCTGCATCGCCAGGAGGAGAGGGGCTGCTGTTGTCCAATTATAGTATCTAGGGGGACAGGAAAACAAAGAGAGTAACGACCTGAATTAGTTAATTGTGCCAGCCTGGCCAATAATCACATGTGGTGCTGGTTGAAAGGCGGAGGGATAAATGGGTGGTGAGCCTCGGCCTTTCGAGTTCTCGGGTCTCTTGTTTTGTGATGGTTGTATCGGGTGCAGCTGCCTTAGCAGTTCCCTGCTTCAGTTTGCAAGACTGACTTCCTACAAGACGTCCCCAAGGAGAAGCTACATGGACCTATCCCGATGCAGCCCTGGGTGCTGGAGCAGCCGTGTGGAGACCTCTGCTAGTGCTGAGATGCTTCTTCATTTACTGACTCAGCTTTCCTCCTGCAGTCGGCATCATTGCCTCTGTTTTGTGAGGTGGAGGACTTTGTGGACTGGTGTTGGCTAAATGGGTTAATGTTGGACTTGTGGTCTTGGGCAGCATTGGGTTGGGATGTTTTCGTGATGCACCTTTTATTTACATAAAACTCTCTCTCACACGTGAGTCGCCGTGGATTTGTTTTTCCAAAGTACCTAGACTAATACACGACCCAAGCTGGGACCCCGTGCAACTCGAATGCAGCCATCGTGGAAATCTCTGGGAACTCCACGCCCCTGACATGCCCTTGACAGTGGCTTCCAACAGAGGACAGACTGAGGCAAAGCAGCAGCCAGGGCCCGGCTCCGACCTGCGTGCAGACACCAGCAGCCAGGTGGGGAGCAGCCCAAATTCCACTGCCGCCTCAAACCATCCATGGGCTGGAGGCTTTTTTTTTTGCGGGGTGGGTGTGGGTGGGTGAGGGCATGTTTCAAGGGAAGGGCTGCTAGGTTAACCTAAGGTCACACGTAAGACGTGAGTGAGCTCATCCTGGAAACCCTGCTGACCATCTGCGAAAGGGCCTGCACATCCCTGGAGCTCAGTAAAGAATCATTTTGCAGGGATGCTCCACGTATTCTATTCTGAATAGGGACGTGGTCTCCGCCCCACGCTTCGTGGCTGCATCTGCGGGAAAAGCCACAACAGGTGCACGGGGGACTCGGCTGTGGTCACTGCCATGGAGCCGGTGCCGACTCAGCGCGACCCTGTAAGCCGGGGGAGAACTGCCCCCTGTGAGCTTCGGAGACGATCTCTTGAGGGCAGTAGAAACCCTCTTCCTTTCCCCTCCGAACTCGGTAGGAGCACCGACTTGTTCCCAAACAGTGAAGAGACAAGAATCATTGCTGGATGCCGGGTCTTTGGCTTTTACGAAAGGAAAGCCAGATGACTCTGGGCTGGGTACTTACTTATTCCCGATCTTGACCACCAGGTTGGGGTCGTCGATGACGGCAGGGTTCTCAACAAACTGCTGGTATGACACCGCTTGTTCAAAGAACGCATCTGCAGGGGGGGGGAGGGGGGACGACAAAGGAACAAAGACAAACAGAGAGGAAGTCGGGTTTTCAAACGGGCAGAGTGGTTCACTGTCACTCCCATCTCCTTCATTACACTCTCGTGAAAGCAGTTGGTTGTCAGTGGGGGCTTCGGCTGGCTTTGGGGCAGCCTCAGCCCACACAGAAAGGGGGTGCAGGGGCGAGGTCTGGGAGACGGATGGCACCTGTCCTCAACCTGGGGCAGGGAATCAGAGTGGGAAGGATATAAGCGAGCAGCTTCAAAAGGCCTGTGGGGGGTGTGGGAGGT